AAGGGGACGCACTAGACACAGGACCCAGCCATCACCTCAAGGGGGCGCACTAGACACAGGACCCGGCCGTCACCTCAAGGGGACGCACTAGACACAGGACCCAGCCATCACCTCAAGGGGGCGCACTAGACACAGGACCCGGCCGTCACCTCAAGGGGACGCACTAGACACAGGACCCAGCCATCACCTCAAGGGGGCGCACTAGACACAGGACCCGGCCGTCACCTCAAGGGGACGCACTAGACACGGGACCCGGCCGTCACCTCAAGGGGACGCACTAGAGACATGCTTCATGTAGGGCTACCTTCATCAGCATAGCATGTTTTCTTTGCTGTCTTTTAGAAGTAGAGAGAAGGCCATGCGCCCTCTCGCCTGACCGATGTCACTCACAGGACTGTGGACCGGATGCCGAGTCGGCGTTAGCGCTCGGTGACCGGAGGGGTCTCACCTGGTGCCGTGAGCCCTGGGGGCTCCGGTAGGGGGGCTGCATCCCTGAGAGTGAGGTCATGGCCTGTCGGGGGGTGGAGAACAGGGTAGAGGACGAGCTCCCTGGAAAAAGAGCGAAAACGACGCTTCAGTGTCCCCACCCTGAATGCCCGACCGGGGAGGGGGGGTCAAAAAGTGGCGTTACTGACCGCAGCTGCTGTGGAAGTCGGCGTAGGGGCTGGAGCCGCAGTCCAGGTGGCGCAGAGGCTGGGGCGCAGAGAAGTGCTCGGGGGCCGAGGAGTAACCCTCCTCGCAAGACGCCTCCTTGGGGTCCAGGGACACTTTGGCACATTCGATGACGATGTCGTGGATCTCGTACCTCTTCCACCTGCGGCGGGATGCGGGAATTAGGGACCTGAGGCCCATCCCTTTCACCCGCCCCATGGTGGGGGAGGGGCCGCCACACTGACCTGGTAGGGTCCAGCTCGTGGTCCTGGGTTCCAGTCACTAACTCGGGGTGTATCCGCACGTGTTCCAGCATTGGCTGCAAACAAACGCACAGAAACTAAAAACAAGCATTCAAAAGGTGCATGAAGACCCAAGAAAAACAAGGTTCCTCTGCATCATCTCTACAGTCATAACTCACTGTAATACAACCCAAACCACTGGCCGATGCCAGAAACTTCGACTTAGGCAGAGTTTTCCCCAAAGACACTTTGATCTAACAGTTAGCATTAGAAACTAGACAAGTACGTTCCTGCGTACATATCAGCTAAACACAAATGTTTCAAAAGTAAACTCTATATGCCAACATTAATAGTTTAACCAGAGACTGAGTCCTGTCAGCGAAATGCATCACTGTGCATATCGGATTCCTGCAAGATACTTGCTAAACAGACCATGACAGTGAGCTTCCCACAGTGCCCATTCCTAGCTGACTAATCTTCATGCCATCTGCAGTCAGACTGGCGATTTGCACGTATTACTTAACAGCGTTCTTTTACATGGCAATGGGAAGAACTTCTTGATTGTTTCTACGGTAACCCAAACCAAACCAAGTCCATGGCAGCTGGATACTTACCTTCACCACCTCCTCGAATGTGTCCATGTTCTCCTTCATGCTGTAGTGGGAGCGGAGGTAGGAGACGAAGTTACAGGGGTACATGCCGTACAGCCTGTGGAACAGTGAGTACACGCTGGCGTGCAGGTGGACCAGGTACACCTCCGTCACACGACCTAGGGGGAGACGGAAGCCGTAGTTTCAACCCGCACAGCAAAGAAAATCAGCTCCACGGCGAGCAGCTGAAATCTGCTGCTTCCTCTACATCCAGATGCTGCTCACCTGAATTTTTCAAGTTCCAAGCAGCCAGACGGCCAAAAATATCAAAGAACTCATACAGCTGCTGCTTGCCAGGCTGAGGGATCATGGGCAGGAGAATGATCAAGACAAGGACTCCAGTTATGAGGACCACCACATCTGTATCAGTCTTTTGGGGGGGAGGGAAAGGGGGAGTGTTAACTAATTACCAGCATTTCACCGCTGAACAATTAACCTCCCCAACAAATACACATGAGATGAACTACACTTCCCAGCATACCTTGAGGCATTTAAGCAGTGAGAGGAGTAGCGGGAAGCGGGCGATCTTGTGGATCCATGACGGCTCCTTGCGCACAACGTGGCCCAGCAGCGTCAGCGTGTGCAGCCGGCACGCCCTGCTGGCCATGCACTCGTTCATCTTGTCCAGGAGGTGCTGGCCGAGAGAGAGAGCTGCTCTTTAAAAAAGGGATGTGTTCCCTCTGGCACCGTGCGTTTAGCCTTAATCACACAGCAATTCAGGCACGAGAAGACAACAGCATCAGCAAGAGCAACAAAGTTAATTTCCAGGAACGTTAGTGAAATGTCACCCGCCGGCCTGCTCTTTTCGTAAGAGTTGGAGGGCATGTGTCTTGTAGGAAAGCGGCTTGGTGGGCGGCCGATCGAGCATGAGAGTCGCTCACCTTGTCATGGGGTTCCCTGACGGAGGACAGGAAGTGCATAGCCTCTGTGGATCCGGTCTCCAAGTAGTAGTCCACCAAGCCGTTTACCAGCACAGCCCCTCGGTCTGGCACACAAACAGTAATGAGACATAAAACTTTCACCACTTAGCACAACTCGCCTTCCATTTCCCAAGAAATTCCAGGTGCATGAGTCTTAGTCACCCCTGCTCTGCATTCAAATTGGCTATATGTGCTTTAACCAATAGCAGATTCCCTATATAGAGAAGCACATACAGAGCTGTTACATTCTTGCTGATAGGTGGGAGCAATGACCAGTCGCGGATAAGACAGGGTTTCTTCTGTTTGACTAAAGGGTTAAGGACAGGGAGTCAGGGCTCTCACTAATACGCAATCTGAAAAGGATCACAATGACTTTCTGTGCACAAATTTTCCCCTACAATGTTAATCTCACAATCTGCCTGTCAGCAAGCAGATGACAGCTGACACACGCTCCCTGCTACCCCCCCCCCCCCCCTTCACTTTCCTGTTGTCCTTTCCACTGGTACCCTGAAGAATAGCTAAAGACCAGCCCAAAACTGCTGACAGGTCAGCAGAGCTGCCCTACAGCCGTCACTGGAGACTTTAGCAGATAAGCACCACTTCATGCTAATTAGTTCTGCTTTCAGGAGCACCAGTTAGAATCCATCCATGAAACAACTAAGCATCAAATAGGTATCCAAAGCCAAATTTTAGCTGAAAAAATGTTAGGCTGTTGATGAGAGTCAGTGACTGCCAGTCAGACTAATGTGTGATACAGCCGGACACGACTGAAGCCTACTGGCTCTGTTTTGGCCGATTGAGCATCCTGATTTGCTGTTAAAGCAAGCTGGTGAGACCGAGTTCTAGGATTGGGCTGCATGTCAACTGTCACCTCAAGTCGCATCAGTGTGTTCCAGCGCAAATGTACATAATCGTTAGGAGGGGAGGGAAGCTGATCATTCGTCAGCCTTGGCAGGTGCTTGAGATCCAGGGACCACTCAGGAAGATGACCGCAAGCTATTAAACTCCTCAAAGACCATTGTTCTAGGATTTAATGCTCACTATTTGGAGTGAAAGAATGCCACAGCCTCCCGCCCCCCACCTTGGTTGAGGTGGTCTCTGATGAGGTCCTTGACCTCCTCCACCTGATGAAGATCTGAGGACTCCAGAAGGGGGAGGAGATCCCCCATGTGGGGCTGCTCTCGGGCCATGGGGTCACGCAGGCGGGCGCAGGAAGGCTCCGTCGCGTGGTCACGGTCGTCACAATGCAGTCCGTCCCAGGACCACCTGCCAACAGCGACCAGGCACCTCTGCTGAGGGAGAAGAGGATCTTCTAACCATAAAGCAACCAAAATTCATTCTGACATCATTTCCTGCTTTGCTCCAACATTTAGTTACTGATAGTGCTTTACGGGAATTACGGGAAAAATTGGGGCAAGGGGGAACAAACACTCAAAAACTCCATAAGTAACAGACAGGACAAAAAGACAAGAACCTGAAAAGAATGACAGCAGGGTTATAAAAATAAGCAGCAAATAATCCACATGCTTAGCTTTTCCTCCGTTTCGCTAGGCTGTGTTCTGATTCACATCGCAGCACTTGAAGTTGCTCCAGCTATAGAACTTTGTTTAATTTTTGCGGCATCATCTCTGACAGTGTGCAAAGTCGATTCCTTTATGTCTGTTGCTCTACCAATATCACATGACATCTCATTCCATTCAAAACACTTTAATATATCAAGCTTCTCCTCAAAACTCAAACTTTTCCTTTCTCACTTCCCGCTTGGCTTTTTTTAAACCAGGGTGCTTAATGGTACATTATAATAAAAGTTAACAAATGCGGAAGAAGAGCAAAACAAACACTTGAGGATAACACAGTGGTGAACTGGTCAAGTCACTGGGTGTTTCAGGTGTGTGCGTTTCACGGGGGGGGTGTTTGTTGCATTTCACCTTCTGCTTGTTGCAAATAAAATTACAGAAACGAAAATGTCGCTTTTGCACTTCTAAAACACATTAAATGGGAACATATTGTATTTACCACAACAAAAGTCATAAAATACAAAGTAAGTGGAAATCAACAATATTCTGGCCTGCCTTTGGAATTCATGGCATCATTAAAGACTAATGAAGTGGAGGTATTCTATAGCCATGCCCTAGTTCTATATTACAGTTCATCCTCAATGTCATGGTGGGGTTAAGGCTCTTTACTGGCCACTGTTGTTCCATGAAACAATGCACATCTCCAAGTGGCAGCCCCTTCCTTGTCACGGTACTTTTCAACAATTTATTTATGGTATAAAAAAAAATTTTTCAGCAACTTTTAATATAAACCGTTTTTTACGTTGACTCGTACTAATAACTACTGGATTACACAGCATGCAACTTCTTGTGATACTGTGCAAGATCTGCTTGCCGCTTACATGCAGAAATACATGGGCTCCGTTTGCGCATCGTCCTAGAATTGCGGTCCTGAAACTGCAGCTTCCGGTACTGCAAGAACATACTATTGACCACAGGTGGAACGGCATTTGTAGAATATACAGCACTTTGCCAACGACTTTCAACTAAAAACCCATACGACAACTAAACCCGCAGTGCTATTCACCTCCTGCAAAACATATGGACGCCCACAGACGAAATAAATAGGGAAAAAGCGCACCGCCTACATTCATGAGATACCATGGGCTGCTTGGTTTAGGTCTGTCGTTTAATTTTATAATTTGAGCCGCAGCTGCCGCAGCGTGGATTTGACAGACAGGCTCAGATGGGAGCCGCCGCACGCAGAATGGCGCTTCTCAGAAATACCCCCAGACAAATGGCAACTTCATCGTGCGCAAAGGGTGCGACCCATCGTAGCTCCGGCAGGCGGGCATGTGCCACATTTCACCCACAGCAACTGATTTACGACAGCCATGTGAAGGGAAACCTTGTACTGGGAGAGGAGGCCAGTTAAACTCCAGGGTAAAACACAAAAAAGGAATTCAGGGAGCACAAATGAGAATTATTAACAAAGAGTATTGGTATGTGTTGTTTTGGCAATATTTTAAATAACATTAATACTTGGTTTATTTAGGTCTTAAGTTTTCCATTACTTTAAAGAAACTTAAACAACTATTTGAATTAAGGATCAAGTACTACCTCAATCTTAAATCAGTATCTACACGCCGCAGGTTGGAAGGAATTACTTTTAAAATACCATGTCGCTTTATATTTAAACATGAGTTGCTAAATACAGCGTAAACAATAAATAAAACTTAGAATAAACAGCTATCCTATTATTACAGCATGCATATCATAACGCGCTGCAGGAAACCGCAACATTTACGAAGTTTGCCGTCGTCTGCACGAGGACACAGTGAGGAGTGACGCAGCCTGATAGTGAGCAGCAGGCGCGCGGGGCGGCAGTGTGCACGTTTATGGGGGGGTGGGGGATTACAAAGCTTAATAAAATGTTTTTGCAGACCGCGGACTTGAGCCGAAAATGCAGCCAAGTCGTTTGCAGCCTCTTTCCGTATTAATCCAAATGCAAATGTAAAAAACAAGAAAAAAATACTCCCAGACCTGAAACGTCGCTTCACAGAGACGTTCACGTGAAATACCGCTTGTAGAAGCTTATAAGAACTAAATGAATATTACACACGTTTCTCTTCAAATTAAACTTTATTATGTATGCATTTAATGGTCTGCCTAGTTGACTATTAAGATGTACGTTCATACGGATGTTTTGATATATCCAGTTAAACAAGTATGATATGCATTATAGTTACTGAAAAATGACCATGTAATAAAATAAACTTGTCAAATTGCCACTACAGTGAACAATCAACCTGGTAAGAAAGGCTGTATGGAGCATTCGTCGGTGCTGGAAACACGTTACTGACAGTGTCGCCAGCTGCTGTAAACAACCCGAGGAACAAAGGGGCGCAACTCGCTTACATCCGACTAGCTTAACGGGCAAAGTGAAATGAGCCACGACACGCGCTGAAAAGAGACGACAACATGTCCCGAACCTGCCACCGACTTGCAAACTAATCGGACCGGGACTTTGCGAGGTACCCGATGAGGTAGCCAGCCTGGCAAGCAGTCAGTCACCCAGCCTGCCTGCCTGCCAGCTAGCCAGCCAGCTAGCGGGTCAGCTAAGGAGGGATTACCTAGCTGGCAGCGCAACTAAAAAACCATCACTTTGTCAGTGATGACAGCGCACCACAAAAACAACGGCAGCGACGTAGCTAGCATCGGCGCTGTCCACCAACTCAGAAAAGAAGTTTTAACAATTTGAAGCGTAGTAGCAAAAGAGACCTGTTTACCTAACAGAGCAGCTGCACTCCACAGGGCGCCGCCATCTTGGGCCGCTCACAACCCCTCCCTCCGCGGTGCTCCTCCGCCGCCGCACAGGCAAAATAATCCCTGACGCACACAGCTGATTTCCCATCCCCTTGCAAACCTTGGAGTTGCAATGCCCATATTAACCCGATGCTTTTATTTATTTATTAGACAGTCTTTTGTCTACTCTGTATAACCCAATTTTAATATATTCTTTAACCCGTGCAGTCGAAAACTATTCACTTTTTTTGCATGTGGTGTACGTTTGAATGCTGTACTGGCAAAGGTATTAGCAGTGGGTGAGTCAGGATGCCAACTGGGAGAAATAAGTGCTGTGAAGGGAACTTCTTTATGCTGTTGTGCTATCTGGTATCAAAAAGAGGAACAGTGAAATAAGATAAAATACCACTGTCTTATTACACCCGTTTTAAGAAAAATTGCCAACTCATCATGTTATTACATTTAAAACTAGTTTGTATTATCATCAGCGTTGTGTCACGTTATTAATCGCTTCTCGTAAACCAATTGCCCGCCGTACTGACCAACCACACACATTTCACAAGCCCTGCGGACAGATAGGACGCTGAGAATTTCAACAAATGTCGGTCCCCCTGGGACTGTTATCAAATGTTGCAACAAAATGAATATTTCTTTGATGAGAACACGGAAGTAAGACTGCTTCTAAATAATACAACAACGTTAAACGTTAAATTTAGTTCTTAGTAGCATCTTCTGTCCTGGTAAAGAAGTACTTCCTAATTTGACCAAAAAACATAAGTACAGTATATGCGCCATTGTCCATTTGGAGTGGGAACTGAGATACATTTAAAAAATCAGTTTAATTGATATCAAAAGTAAATTACCTTTATATTTCTGTTAACAAGTCCTATTGTAATAAATGTAAAATTAAGAGCTTTATTTCAAATGTATTTGTATGTATTTAAATGTAAAATGCAAAGTTTGTCACTTACATTATCACATCATGAGGCACTTATTTGGTCAGAAATGTATTTATTTTCATTTTATATTTCAATGTATCTCTTTAATGGCATTTTCAAGTTAGATACTCTTAATAATGACAATATTTCATGAAAAATATTAAACACCTTATCATAACTGACCTGTAACACTAGTGACAGAATTTTTTTTACGAAAATTGCAAAATTATCATGCAAAATACTAACAAGGATCTCATTTCCATATTAATAAGATTTTTAGTTTTTCTTATCATTTACAACATTAATATTAATCACTGATGTCATAAGTATGTTTTCTTAATGGCAGTCCTTACACTGCATAACACCAGTCACATTAGTTAAGGGTTGAAACAAAATGTTCAAAATGAGAAGGATATGGTCTCATCTTGCCATTCTTTGAAACACTTCCTCTATATAATGTCTTGTAGTTTAATCGACCAAGAACTAGTATGTTACAATGTAATATGTGTCCAAATAACACCAATGACCAACAAAATGAATGTTTCTTTGATGAGAACACGGAAGTAAGACTGCTTCATAAATAATACAACTACGTTAAACATTAAATTTAGTTCTTAGTAGCATCTTAGTAGCTTTTTCTGTGAAAAAATGTATTTTTTTAAATAACATTTTTTTAATGTAGTGGAGTTTATATATATATATATTATATTAACTGTGTGAATGTACCTGCTGACTCCTGTAGCAGTGTGTAAAATCTTAAGCCTGCTTTTAAGCCCTGCAACCTCTGTGACATGGATTCTCACTCCGAATGGAGAACAGCCCATATCCAGGGCAGGATCCAGGCACAGGCAAAATTGGCAGCTGTGTTCGGCACAAGGGGGCCCAGACAAAGCCTGAAAATATATGTAATATACACATTGCTGGCTCTAACTACAGGCAGAATAGGCAGGGCACTGTACAGTTGCTTAGGACCCCAAAAATTACCTGCATTGCAGAATAAATTAAATTAAATGATTGTCAGTTCTTTTGGTAGGGGTAGATTTTATAGAGTCACAGATTTTGGCAGACAATGTGTCTGTACATGTTATGGAAAACAACACCACATCACAGTTAACTCTGAAGGACGGAAAGTTCCATTTTTTATTTGGTTATGTTGGTAATAAGGCAAGGCTAACTTTTAAAAAATCATCGGTTTTGCCTTCCATTTCTGAGACAGGCCTCCCAAATTCGCTCCCTGGTCAGGCATGCTCAAAAATCTGGCATTCTTTTAGAAATAATTGCTTTATTGCCCCCAGAAACTCAAAGATGTTTACATTCTCCAATATTTTTGTTTATCATGTAATCTTTAACTTGATTGTATATATCTCTGCCTTGTAATGGACTGGCATCCTATCCAGGGTGTACTCCAGTTTAGGTCACTGAGTGACCCGGGATGGATTCCATTCCACTCCATGACCCTCTTCAATAGGCTGGATTTAATAAAGTAGTGTAGGTAAATACTGCCGCCATCTGGCGAATTGCTCCCATTGACATATCATTAAAAATATTAAATTTAATTTGATGCCAATTCTGCACCAATGAAGAAAAGCATTGATGCAATGATTCTTTCTGACAGAAACCTTCTAATTTGACATTCTCAGTATCTGTAGGATACATTTTAATTCAATGCTATGGATACATTTTAATTCTAATTGCACAGAACTTTGTGTTTTGGTTCTACTGATACCAGTCAGGACAGAAGTTGTGGCTCCTGAATACACTGTTTTACACATTGGTTTTATTCTCCTGCCTCAATTTTTTCTTTGTTCACCACGCGCAAATACTTTATACAGTGACTTGCTTATTTGACACACTTACGCAAAGTGACCATCGTTTCTTATTCCAGCACTTTTGGGTCATCAATACCCATACACATTCCTAACCACTATTTGGTACGCCAGATATAAAAATTCTTCTTAATAGTCACTATGATAGACAAGACATTATATGAGAGTAACAAAGGTAGGTGAACCATGTCTTGTTTTCCCGCGATGCTGTCCAGGATACGACGAACACTACAATATCTTGGACATTACGTTCGGCAAATTACGCTGAATGCACTGAATTGTTAGACCACGAGGTGGCGCGTGGCATTAGCGGATAATGAAATTCATTCCTGACTTCTGTTACCAGTAGAATTGCTTCAGTTTTTTGTTATTGAAATGTGAAATAATTTTCAACTGTTAGAATAATCAGATTTTAAAGTTATTTCCCTTTGTTGGCAATATAATTGTTCAGTTTTGATGATCCGTCTCTCTGCGCCTCAGAAGTCCTCGTCTTCGTCACCAATAATATACAGTCATATGCGCCCAACAACTAGCACTACTCATATGGTGGGTGTATTTATTTTAATAGATCTATATAAAGATTGCACAGTTATAACAGAATAAGGGAGATGGAAATAAGTCAAATAAAAAATCCATTTGCATTGTGTGGCGGCATTGCTGCAAAGAAGCGAAGTGACCGTTATGACTTGTTTTGTATTCCTAAATAATTAAAAACAACTTTCTGGCACTCCAGAAACATTTAATGTCATACTTAACGATATGCATTGTTTTCTGCAATGTTATCTCACACTTTTTAAAAAATCCTTTGTTTTGTACTATGTCACATTTACATTAGTAAACAACTGATGACTTTGCATCTTTGAGTGCATAGGATAAACATTTTTTAATTACGTACGAGTGTATTTTTTGAACTGTTATTGCTAGAAAATCATACATACTGGGCTTCTTTGTTACAACAATATTGACTTATCCGGGGGTTACAATCTTAATATTACTTTTCGTGGAACTATCACAACGCACTCTTTTTATGTAGGCAAATTTTCACCTGTGTAATAGTCTTCTCATTGGTCGAAACCACAGTCAGATTCCACTACAAAATTATCAGATTGAAAATCAGGGAGGGGAGAGAAAGGACAAAAGTCGGCCGAGTTACATTTCTGGAGAATTTCGTAAGGGATTTAAAGACGAGTGAAAATTGTAGTGTACACTTTATTTCGTACAGGGATAAAAGGAAACGCCGAAGAAAATTAGGAAAAATAACATCACACATTTCGGGTAAGTGCTAAGGACAATCCGTGGTTCAATATATAATACAAGCAGGGTTTAAATGAGACACAAACTGCAAATTGAAATAACTGTAAATTATCACCGTTGTAAATTGTTTCCAACAGCCCTGTCATCATCATATAACGAATATAAAATAGTCCAACGGAAATTATCGAAGGTTTTCAGCGAAAAATATAATTACACCTGCTTTAATACATTGCTTAATAAATAAGCAATGCTACTCGTTTCAAAATAACAAACAATTAGTTAATGTTTATGGTGTATTAAATTCACAAAAGAAGCTTAAATAACAAGACCAAATGAATATTTATATACGGATGTTGAAAATGTATATTCATTTACTTACAAAAGATTTAATTACTGTATGTGGTTAACAGACGACGATGGTGTTATGTCGTAATTATGGTGAGGTTTACTGCATGCCAGTTTCTATATACTCTGGAAATACGTTACTATATATAATATACTATGCTATATGTAATATAGTATACTATTATACTATTTATAAAGTAAATGCATTTATTTGATATATGAATATAAGAAATCTTACAGTTATACAATTGAATGTATCACATATTTGCACAATTCACACGTATCGCTCAAAACAATTGGAATTTAAACAAGTTATTTGATCATGTAAGAATATGTATAAATACAGGATTTTTTTTTACCAATTGTCCGATACATTTTTTGCCATATGTCTAAACATGGGCCATCACAATATCAAAATCAAACTTTGTATCGCGACTCTTTGTGACATTGCAGTTTACTGAATTTCATCAAAAGTGTCACGATGCCTCGATCGTTCCTGGTGAAGAGCAAGAAATGCGCTTCGTATAACACACACAAGTTCGTCGAAGAAGCCGAACCAAGGGTATTTCCTGAAGTAATATATAAATCAAGTGAGTACCGCAGAGGCAACTTTTATATACCAGTTCTTCAAAGTGTGACGTTAGCTAGTAATTGAGACTCATTGGGTGTAATAGGTAGCGTGTTTTTCTGACCACGTCTGTTCTTATGAAAGATGATTAAATCAAACGTCTAAAGAATGGGGGAATATGCATATAACCGTAGCCTTTGGCCGATCGCTTAAACGTATTCCCAAATAAATATACAATGCTCCCAGATCGACGCACGGTAGAATCAGTAATATGTTGCGCATTGACCAGTACTACCCCAGGTAAGATACCAAAACTTTGTTGCTCGCGTTTTTATGAAGCGGCTTCATGGAAATGCCACGGCTAGGGACAGAGCTGGTGTCATGGCTATGCAAACGAGCCTTATTCAAATAGACAGCGTTCAATCCTATAATTCTTCAACATAACCCGCACCGGTGTCCAGGACATAGATTCCGCATGAATGCAGGAGCGGAACTAATTATAAAATATTACAGGAAAAAATGCAAATTCAATTTCAAAATGTTGAATATGGAATCACCCTAACGGATTTCTTTTGGCTGCGTTTTCTTTTTATGAACGGCAAGTTGAAGCAGCGGTGCCGCCATCGCCTGACGCCCCGGAGCACGCCTCTCCGCCGGAGCCTACACCTGAAGGCTCCCCTTCTCCGCCGGGCACCTATGTCAAGAGCGAGCGGGAGTCCGAGTGCTTAGTTCCCGCTCACCCAGAGCCAACTGCCGCCCCCATCTTATCCAGGCCGTCTTACTATGCCTCTGGTGAGACTTTTGTGCTCCAGAAAACATTTTTGCTGTCCTGAAATAATCACTTTAAAATAGAGGGGGCGACAACAGCTATTTTGTCTTTTTGCAGAGCCTCACATCCCTGAGTTTCCCCCTTATTACAAGCCCCCCTACAGCTGGGACCCCCTGTCCTCACCATATGACTTCCGCCAGATGGGGTTTCCTAACACCCTGTTGCAACACCCCAGCACCCTGTATGGTGCACACATCAAGCCCAGCCCAGAGCCCCCCCAGCCCCTGGACTGCAGCACCCACTACTCCCCAGCCTCCGACACCTACCACTGCATCACCTGCGACAAGGTGAGCCCGACGCTGCCCACCTTTCCGCATAAATGTTCAGCCAATTAAATCCTAAAATGGATCTTCTCTGAAGGACCCTAAACCAATAGCGGAGCTAGAAATCATAGCGTGGGTGGGCAGGCAGAAATCAGGTGGGCCAGTCCCATAACGATTCACTCAGCAACAAAATCACACTACGTAATCAAGCGCATTTTTTCATCAGATTTTAAATGATCTGCAGCATTACTTAGAGCAAATGAACAAAGTCAAAGGAAAGTCTGTTTGCCTCTGAACAACACTTTTCCTCTGATTGATCTAACCATGCACACACATACCTGTTACACACCATCGTTTTATTGTACTGTATCGCTCGCTGTCAATGCTGAATGAGCACCGTCATAAACTTCCCATTGCATGTTGATAAGCCATAATTGAAAATTCATACCGATTATCTTAACAACTAAGCTTTGATAATTAGCTAACAATTGTTACTGAGAGACACGGATGCAGCGCAGTCCAGCCTAGAGACATGATGATAGGCCTCTGTTCCCTTGGACAGTGCTGCCAGGAGACATGATGGCAGGCCTTTGTTCCCTTGGACAGTGCTGCTTGAAGATGTGATGGTAGGCCTCTGTTCCCTTGGACAGTGCTGCCTGGAGACATGATGGCAGTACTTTGTTCCCTTGGACAGTGCTGCTTGGAGATGTGATGGCAGGCCTCTGTTCCCTTGGACAGTGCTGCCTGGAGACATGATGGCAGGCCTCTGTTCCTTTGGACAGTGCTGCTTGGAGATGTGATGGCAGGCCTCTGTTCCTTTGGACAGTGCTGCCTGGAGACATGATGGCAGGCCTCTGTTCCCTTGGACAGTGCTGCTTGGAGATGTGATGGCAGGCCTCTGTTCCCTTGGACAGTGCTGTTTGGAGACATGATGCTCTATCGCCTTGGATAGTGTTACCTGGAGACTTGATGCTCTGTCCCCTTGCATGCTAGGTGTTCTCCACACCCCACGGACTGGAGGTGCACGTCCGCCGCTCCCACAGTGGCACCAGGCCCTACGGATGCAGCATTTGTCGCAAGGCCTTTGGTCATGCGGTCAGCCTGGAGCAGCACATGAATGTCCACTCCCAGGTAAGCACCACATGCCACCCCATCTCTCTCATGTCTATTGAAACAAACATGTAGAACGTGATATTTTTCAGATATCATACTTTGCATGCAATAAATCTACTGCACAATTTGCAGAATGAATTACACTCAGAAATCCAACCAAGTTTCTAGTGTAAGGCGACACTTATGGTCATCATACACTGTCAGAAAAAACAATTTCTCAATTTGTACCTTTTCTTCTCACTGGGGCTGTACTCTCAAGGGTCTAATAATTGTACCTTAGCTGTAGGTAATTGTACCTTTTAGTCAACATTAAGGTACAGAAATGGACTCTGAGGAACATCCCCAAGGTACAAACAACATAAATGTACCCCAATGGCACAAAAAAATGTTCTTCCTAAGCCATTTCTGTATCTTGAAAGGCAAACCTCCAGTGACAATAAAATGTAGAAATTGCTACTCTTTTTTATGACAGTGTAAAATAAGAGGAAGATGACGTTCAGTCTTCAGTGACCCCTCATCCAGAATCATCTGAGTCTTCTGTGATTGGGTGTTGTAACCCCAACGTTGAGCAGAATCTAAGAAAGCTCTTGTTTGGGTGGTGGTGGGTTGGGGGTGGGGGGTGGTTGCTGCAGAAGTCAGTAAGGTACGTTTCTCTGCCTCCTAAGGAGAGAAGCTTCGAGTGCAAGATGTGTGGGAAGACATTCAAGCGCTCCTCCACTCTCTCCACCCACCTGCTGATCCATTCGGACACGCGGCCCTACCCCTGCCAGTACTGCGGCAAGAGGTTCCACCAGAAGTCTGACATGAAGAAACACACCTACATCCACACAGGTGAGGCCTCACTGCTGAGGGAAGGGGGCTGGATTTTCCCATTAGGGAAAAGTGAGAAGAGCCTCAAATGTATTAGGATATAGGATGAGAAATATGACAAGACCTCGCAGTATTTATCTGTACAACTACTGTGCAAAAGTCTTAGGCAGTCAAAGAAAATGTTTACGGCTATTTATCTTGGTAGAACGTGCATATTTGCTCAGGAAAAAAAAAAACAATTTAACATAATAACCTATGCAAATTAATAGTAACCCAATAAATATGAACATGAATTTCATCAGTTCTCCAAAGAGTTACTGATATCTTGGTGGATGGCTGTTTAGGGGCACCCCAGCCATTCTAGGTGTTTGTTAAATTCCTCCACCAGCTCAATTAATTAATTAATTAATCAATCAATTAATTAATTAATTAATTAGATTTACTTAATAACTCAATGGGGTATTGATTAGCCAAACAAGGTGGGGTAGTGGTTGGGTAAAAAAAAACATGGGTGTATTTGACAGTTGCTGCAAATATTGTGCTTTTTTAGGAGCAGTTTTGAAATGCCTAAGCTGACACACTTTGACAGACATAATGCCATAGTTTTACACCAATATGAAGATCATTTACACATCATTTTCTGTGACTGTCTAAGACTTTTGCACTGTGCTGTATATGGTGAGATGGAACGGTGTAACTGTGTTGGACTAAATTTTCTAGACAGAAGTTCATTCACGTAACATGTGTGTCCATAAAGTAAAATTATTTCGAAATTAAGGGAAATCCGCCATTTTCATCTAAGGTGACTTTGACTCAAATCACGTTTATCTGAATGTTTTGCAGGAGAGAAGCCCCACAAATGCCAGGTGTGTGGCAAGGCCTTCAGCCAGAGTTCCAACCTCATAACGCACAGCCGTAAGCACACGGGTTTCAAGCCCTTTGGCTGCGAGATCTGTGCCAAGGGTTTCCAATGCAAGGTGGACCTGAGACGGCACCACGAGAGCCAGCATGGGCTCAAGTAGGGTGGGGATTCTGGATCGTGCAGCTGGTGCAAGAGAGAGGTCGAGGGAGAGCGAGAGAGAGAGAGAGAGAGAGAGAAATCGATGGACATCCACCCAGTCTGTCATCCGAAGTATCCCCCTTCTACGTGACCCCTTCAAAAGTGCAGCCCTCTCAGAGGTAAACAAGACTTTGTGGTTCCGGGCACAGCATGGACACAAGCTGGACGTCGCTGAACAGGAAGTGCGCAGAATCAGTCTCGCGGCATCGGCGTGTGTGCACGCGTATGTGCACGTGACCACACTCAGTGGGGATGAAACCGATTATTCGCTTCTGCTGAATGTGATAAGACCAGCGCTCTCCAGCAACACTGCGGGCAAATGTGAGGAAAGGGCACTGAACTATCACAAGTACTGACAGCAGTGTCTGATTAGTTGACAAAGACCTACAAAATGGTGAAGACATTTTCTTAACATGTGTTTTCTCTTTTTCTTGAGCAATGATTATGGATCTTGAATACTGGTAGATCTTTTGGCTGAAGGTACAAACCAAAGGTCTATTGATTTAAATACTAGCAGGGCAACTTAAACTGGGTGCTTAGCATGAACTGCAAAATATATTAACAACTGTATAAATATGTGAAGAAAACAAAGGTTGCTTTTGGATTTAAAAAAAAAACCTTTGCTAAGCAAATATGTAATGTTAGGGCTAGCGTGAATCGGATTGTAATTCTGACAACCATAGCAAACGTGTTTCCCTGTGAAGACCACAAATGTAGCTACCGCCCTATGCGTCTAAAGGAAGACAAATAAGTGATGCAATAATGATATTTTCAACTCAATAAGAAGTATTTTTCCATTTTTTGCATCTTTTAGGACATGTATTGTGATACGGGTTTCCTGGGGGGTGGGGGGTGGGTGTAACATTCCGGGTAGTTGCATATGTAAGAAAAAGCATTTTATAGACTAACAAGTTGTATTATTTATATTAAAAAAGTGAAGCATTGTTCTGTGACGTCTGAATAAATATATCCTTTAGGAATAAAAAGCACATTTTTAAATTACACGGAGATTTTTGGGCTGCTTGAAGACGGAGAGATCAAACTTCATCTTTAATCTTAACGCACTTCAACTGAATTTCCAAAAATTGGTCTTGCAGAAACACCAACTGGCAATACAATGAAATATGTGTGAGATACAGTAGCAGAAAGGCGCGACAGAGCAAACAGGTCGCTTCTTCCCCCCTTGATGTTTGCTTTTGGACCGCTTCTGCATCCTTGAGGAGCCGGATAGACAGATCGTCACCTCGACTCCGCCGGCGGCTGACAGAAATCTCTGGCGTTAACAGATAGTGGCGGAGCACAGCTTCTTTCAAATGTGTACCTGGAACTCCATGCAAATCTCCTTTCAAGCGGGTTCGCAAACAGAGGCAGAAACGCACAGTGGGGCTACCGTTCTGCCGTGGTATGTTCTCCATGGAGGGATCATGGCGTGTTTCTTTTATTTTACTTTATTTGGTTCGGGCTCCCCTTCTTATCCCCTGGATCGCAGCCCCGCCTAATGGAGGATTATTCCGACTTCTGACAACCGCCCAGGTGTTACCTTCCAATAACAGCCAGGGACCCAAAATGATTTTTTTTATATGTTAAGAACAGCTTTTCCTTTCTTTTTCTTTTAACTTGATGTATTTATAAATACGTCTACAGAATGCTTCCGAACAGCCTTATGTAAACATTTCAGTAGCCAATGCCACATAAAATTAATCCGGGTTAAACTTAATGACTATTTCTGTAGTTTATGATTAATCAGCACCTGCTACGCTGTCAAAATATAGTGCATTCCTAAATCCTTCTCCAAGCAGCATAAGAGAACGTGCTCTACAGTGCTGTCTGAGCTTGATGTACTTGTAAAGTATATCGCTGTTCGCCGGCTCCCCGCGGACCATCTTTAACAAACAAATTCTCAGCCACTTCCCAAGAAAGCAGCGTAGCATGACGCGCCGGCCGAGCGGTTAAAGGCGGATGCGGTCACTCCATATACCCAAAAAAGCGCGTGGCTCCAGCGGCAGGATGACAGCACGTGCCATTCGTGTCAGTATTTAGAAATAATTTTTTGATATGCGCTTACCTCATAAATCGTAGAATCGGGTAGGTGTGACGGCACACGGCTACCAATTAACACCTATAGCCTAAATTATCTAGTTAACTAATAACTGTCTACACGCGCTTCTTCCATCCCGCGGACCTTTTCTGGTAGACCCCCAACATCACCACCCTCCTAACAACATGTTAGTCCAAGGCAAACATCTGCAAGATCCACAGCACCGAATACACCAGAAGTAAATGTATGTATTTTTCATTATGTATGTCCAAATTCCACTGGATTGCAATCGTAGCAGTGTCCCAGGATTATCTTAACATTTCTGTTAATACTTCGGGGGTTATAGTCTGGTTTGCATATTAACACCCCAAGGGAGACTGAGCAGAGTACAGCTTTCAAAAAACGGCTGTATGGCCCACAGCTTGGGAAATGGATGAAATGGTCAAGCTAAAATTGATAAACAATTAAATAACTAAATACCTCACCATGTGACAGACTACACTATGGTGCCAGAAACACGAGGAGAAAAAAAATCAGTGTCCTTGTACAAGGAACAGGAGAAAAGCCAGTCTGCCCACTGTCTGTTGGTAAACAAATCTCTACCAGCTATGCAAATGACTGCTTACATTTCACTGGAAGCCGGGCCTGGCCCGGTACAGTTAGCTCTGCATCCTGGTGTCGCAGCATGAAGCAAATCAAAATCACACACATCTCGTCCGTCTGTCAACAGGCTGTCAGGGCCGAGGAGAGCGATGACTCCGCAAACAGGACCTGAGCACATGCAAGGCGGAGACAGCTACTGGGGGGGGGGGGGCAGGTTCCTCAAGGCCCCCCAGGATCCAAGCAAACAGTGCTACTTCTGCTTTCCAGTCAGGTGTATAAATGTCTCCTTGAAGCTTGGACATCCTGTCACGGATATTTCCTTAGCTTTTTAACGCCATTTCTTACCTGTCGTACCACATATTTCCCACATTCCCAACCTGTTTAAGAATACATTTAAATCACATGTTGTGCCTGTGATCAGGAATGTCGCTGCTAGAAATCCCAGGATTGGCAGAATAATTTCACCATTGGGCGCCTGAGCAAGACCCCAAAGCCCCAGCTGTTCCCGGACTGGCTGACCCCACTTTCTACTGTTGTAGTGTGGCTTTGGATAAAAATCTGTGGTAAATAAATATAATATAATATATGAAAAGTAATGGACCTGGGGAGAAGCAAAATCCATCAGAGAGTAGTTCTGCAGGACTGCCCCTACGCAGACTGATGTCCTGGTCATGTTTCCTTAGAGTAACGGTTACTTTACTGTATACCGAGAAATCCCAGAATGAGTCTATCATAGTTTTTCTCTGCCCCTAGCTGTTAGCTAAGTGATATTAATATTAACTTAGCCACTCCTTTCTCCGCCTCATGGTCCGAGAAGCATGAGAATTGATAACGATGAGATGTTACGCTCTATACCAGCCCAACAAGTTATAACAACTAACGTTTCATTGACTCTACAGTTTGGCCTACCTCTTATAATGTAACTGATACTGTACTTCAGAATTTTACCTAGAACATTGCATGAAATGTACATTAAATATGAATACAACTCACTATTTAAAATTTGGCTTTGATAAGGCGAATGCAAAATGAAAGAAGACGACTGCTGTCACGGTGTCAATCTGGAGTTTAGAATCGCCATTTCTTACGCTGTTTGCGTAGCCACGCCATTTATTTGCGCAGCAGACACGTTTATTTACGACGGGTCCCATCGGGCATTACTGAAAGGTACATTTCTTAAGTGTCCAGTAATTTAAGGCTAATTTTGAGCACTCTGAAGTAGACTAGATCTAGCACGACGTAACAGTCTTTAATTTTTGAGAAAGTAACGCCGCTGCTTTTAATAAAACTACAGTGCCGCCTGCGACGTACGACACACGAAATGCAATCGAGAAATGACGAAGTAGAAACACTACAATGAGGAAATAAAATGCCGTGAAATTATAAAATAATATGTAGAATAACATGGCGGAAATGCATTTGTGAATTAAGTCCCTGATTCAGCATGAAATTAGTGTATAACCGTGTTGTGTTGTGCAGAACCCCGCCCACAGTCTCTCATACCTCTGTTGACTGCTGATACTATCAGACACCAGAAAGAAGCACTGCGCAACAACATTAACCGAAGACGGCAAAATCTGTTACATGCATGTCCTGATCCCACACCATTCCAGAACCAAAATTAATCTTAGCCAAGGAGGTAAACTGTCATTGCAGGCCAGGGAGAGGACAGGGAGAAATTTGCCTTGCAAATGAGCTGTATGCAAAACATTCCCACTCTGTGCCCCAGAGGAACCAGTGAGAAGAAAATATGTTGAAGAGTAGATGAATTGTATCTTCAAAATCCCGCAGATTAGTTTTATAGTGTACGTAAGTATAAGATGGATGTCCCACCACCACTAAAACTCTCAAACAAGCAGAGATAAACTGGAGGGTGTATTGGGAACACAGATACCTAAAATCACCTGATCTGAAACGCTAAAAACCTCACATTACAAATTAGACCAGGACTATAATAATTGAAACTATAATCGTCCCATTTTCTTTATTGTTTTACCTCCCTGCCTTGTATCAATAGATTTTCAAAAAAACATAACAACAATAATTCTGTGTCAGTGGGGCCCAGTTACCTGGCTGCTCTGTGTTTTGGCTGTCCTGCTCCACTGAACCTGAGCACAGACATCATTAACTCAGACATGCTACTTCCCTGGCGTTTGACATTTAACATTCCTGGAGCCGTAACTCAGAGTGGATCAAGACAGTTGGCAAAAAGATAAACAACTGCATTCATGGCACACTTCTGGGGTGAGCACTCAGCACAGTAGTCATCCACGTGGCAAAGAAGTACGGCTCTGCACATATTTCACCATGAAGTTGTGTTAATGACAGTAATAAGGCTACTGGCAAGTCGTAAAGGCCTATAGAAAAGTCAATCAGGAAGCTTCCCCATAATTGTGAGACGCAGAAGGTATCAGACGTTCCCACTATTGGCACAGAAAAATTTATGTGGGAGAAACGTCACACAGTCCAGGGGTAGGGGAGGTGTAAAAGATATGTCCCAGTCACGATATAAAGTATTTGGGTTTTATTAAACTTTTCATGTTCAAGCTGCTCCCGAAAGCTGGTTTGGAAAATCAGAGCTTTGCTTTATATTATTAAACAGTACAAGTATATACTATATACCATATAATCAGTATATATAATCCCTGTATATGTGTGTATATATATATATATATATATATATATATATATATATATGTATACATATATATATTCAGCCGTTGTTCATCCTTATACCTAGCATTGTGTATATGTTTTTTTTCTTTATATTTCTACTTATATATTTATACAGTTTTAGAAATTGTTTTCTATTGTTTTTATTGTCTATATTGTTCCTATATTGTTATTTTTGCTGATCCTATGGATCCTGTTATACTGTCTTTTTTATTATTGCGGCTGTTTCTAAGGAATTTCCCCATTGTGGGATTAATAAAGTCAATCTAATCTATTCTAATATCAAAATAAAAATGCTACAGCAACAACCTAATCACAGGGACAAAATATTTATTTACAGCAAGCACTAAAATCTTCCAGGTTTGGATAAATTCATTTTGAATTATATTCTGCATGAGGAGAACTGCAAAATAAACACATGCGTGTGTGTGTGTATATATATATATATATATATATATATATATATAAATTACTTTGATTGACAGAGATATTTGTTTGCAATGTTAGGCAAGTTTTTTTTTCTAATCTGGTGGAGATGTATGTCAAAGACATGTTCGCAATCACAGTGCGACCAAAAACACATACAGTAAGCAAGAAACTGCAAAAATCATCGGCAACAGCAATGGCTCAGGCAAGGGATCCTGCGATGAGATCACATGTAAGTGTGGCGGCAGGTTGATACCGACTGACTGGCAGTTACTGGGTGGGGGGGGGGGCTGCTCTGGGAGCTGGAGTTGTGGCAACGGTGGCCATCTTGAACATTGCTTTGCTGTCACCAAATATGGCGTTGCCTAAGTGACTGCTGGCCAGTCACCCGGTAGGCTTAGGGTTATGACTGTTGGGTAGTGTGAGAGACGGGAGGGAGAGGAGCGTAACGGCGATGGCTGAGAATGGGTCAGAAGTCGGGGTCGTCATAGTGAAATCTGGGGGCCTAGCAGGCTACTGGGCCAGACCAGGTTGTGCTTAGCATAGAGATAGTGCTTATCAGGCCGGGCCTGACAGTAACGGTCAGAACACATGTGTGGGGCGGAGCTGCTATTGGGACACACAGATAGCAGAGAACTGGGGCCTAATCAGAGAGGTGCAGGAGTCCAAAACACGCACGGTCCAAGAGAAAGTCCTCACTTCCGGGGCCAGATCCAAACAGCACGACAGATTGTCACTCGCAGGCTAAAACCACGGAGCGCCGTCTCCCACAAAGCACAGAGCTTCATACCGGCACAGAGGAAGCACTGCCCGCTTATCTGGCCCTTTCTGAAGACTGTAGCTATTAGAAGTTCCGTCATGCACCAAAAATAAATGCTCAGCATAAAAAAAAGTGGATTCTTTTCCTCTTTGAGCCACACGCCAAGGACCCACTGACAAAAGAAGCTGTCAAGCAGACAACTGTGTCAGGAGACATGACAAAGCCAGATAAAGCAGCCTTGCTGAGACCAGCAACACATAGCCATGATCCAGTTTGCTCTCATAATATTCATGGAGAGGATCCCTCACTAACATCTGAAATTAAAGTTGTATCCTCACCCTGGTCCACATCAAATAAGCAGTCACTGAATATGGACAGATGGTTATGTGATGTAACATCTTTCTCAACGTGAGATTAGACACGAGTCATCACCTTTATAATAGTCTGTAAATCTAATTGGTTTACACAGAGTGAATGTTAATACATACTATGGTTTACGTAGCGTAAATAAGCATGCAGAAAGGCTGCGAATCTGATGAACTACACCAGCTACATAAATATCTGCTGGGGTGATGTGATGATGCAGTGGTTAGCACTGCTGCCTTATGCTTCTGGGAGCTGTGTTCAAGTCTCTGCCATGGATCCATGTGTGTGCAGTTTGCATGTTCTCCTTCTGTCACTGTGGGGTTCCCACTGGATAACCAAGGTTCCCCCTACAGTTGAAAAGCATGCTGAAATTAATTAGGTTTGCATATGAGTGTGCCCTGTGATGGGTTGGTGTCCCATCCTGGGTTTTTCCCTGCTTTGTGCCCATAGGCTCTGGACCCCCTCTGACCTTGCATACGACAAGCAGCTACAGGTACTGATGGATAAATATCCGCCATATTAACTAGAATTACATATAAGATGATTTCCTTTGTTCTGTGCATTGAGGTGCTCCTGATTATTCCGAGTGCTTAACATGAGATATCAGCGATTCTGTTGCTGACATGTCTGGATGTAGTCTTGGAGACTGTAGGTGCCTTGCTAAGCTCATGTTGCGGAGCTGGGTATACCGTCAAACTAATAATGAACAAAACTTACAACACCACTTTGCTTACTTGGCTAGCCTCCTATTACAGTGATGAGTCGCGAAATGAATCATCATGCATGGCTGAAGTTACCACTCTGTGAGAGGTACTTCAGTGGGTGGGGTGGGGGGGGGGGGCTGTGTGGCTCCTCACATGACCAGATAGACTAATCAGCATGCGACTTAATTTTCTTCAGACGCCCATGCCAGATCTGTAGCATTTGCTTCTTGTTTAACTTCTGGCTGACTTCAATCAAAACTGCAAATACTCATTATGTAATTTTAGCAGGATTGCATGGCTAGATCGTGTGTGGCATCATGTTAAGTTCAGTGCCTTATAAGAAAGGCCATTTGCGCCTTCTCACTGGAAGCTCCTCAATGACACATAGGATGACACCAAACGAAAACTATCACCAAGGTTGAAGTAGCTTGTACTGATGACTCCCTTTGTAAATAACAGCCTCTTGTCCTTCTGTTTGTTGTGACTTTGTCCTACAGGTAAAGCTGGGAGGGAATCTTGGCCCCCACCCAATGTTCTCATGCCAATACCACCTACTGTAAGAGCCTCTCTCTGTGACCCCCCCCCCCCCCCCAGCACAAATTAGAGCCAGATGATGTGAGTACTGGAGGATGTAATCATAATATTTAATGTAAATATTTAATATTTTTCATTTGCTGGATCTTTAATTTGGAAAGTGTTCTGATTCTTCTGTTACTGAAAAGCAAATCTTATAGAGAGTCATCTAGCAAGAAAGCATACGGATAACCAATGAACACATGAAGTATTAGCCCTGCACAGCTTTCCACCAAAAAGGAAAGAGCATCGTAAACCGTGCTGGATACTCACCTGAAAAATTCACATCATTGTAGGCGACAACAAAATGCTGTTAAAAAGCATTTAAGCATCACAAAAAAGTAATCAGACTTTCATGTGGATAAAGCTGAATCTTCTCTGTATTTATAATGTTGCAGCTTGCGGAGGAGGAAAGTTCAGTTTCTGAAAGTAAAAATCCAGACCAAGATTTTGTTTCAACCAACCAGTTCAGTATAAAGAGTCACAATCAGAATATTCAAGTAGTTGGTCGAAACAAAATCTTGGTCTGGATTTTTACTTTCCGGACCTGAACTTTCCACCTCTGGCTTGCATATAATGCACCCTGGGATATGGGGGCACCCCTGTTTGCTTAGGCTGTGGCTCAGCCAGGCCTAGTGAGGGCGTAATCCCTGTTTGAATGGTGGGGGCTTAGGGTATGCCAGGGTGAAACCCCCCCCCCCCCCCAAGCTCTCTGTCATGGTTAACGAGGTCAGAGAGTGACAACACGATAGCACCACAGTCTATGGGGGCGGGGGGTGGAGGGCTTCACAGCAGCAGGAGGCAGGTGTCAGAGTCAATTCTTCGGACCCCACCCCAGGCTTAAGGCAGATTAGGGGAGTGCTCACTCTGCCAGGAGCTGCAATCTGAAATCTCAGGTACTGTAGCAGTCTGCTAGTTAGCTTACATCGAGTTGTTTTGGTTATATGAATGGATAATTCCTCTGACTCATTTTATTACTTAGATTATCAGTGGTTTCGAGGCTGGTGTGGCCCCGTGGTTTTACAGTGTCCTCATTTGCAAGGCTCATGTTGCTGTAAGATAGGATGAGAATGTATGGGTTTTGAGACTCTTCTGAGACTCTTCTTGAGTCAGTCCTGAGACTCAGCTACCAAAGGCAAAAACCAAAACGAGATTCTCATTTCTGAGCTCCAAGGGCTGGAGTCCATGTGATCAATGTGGAGGGAGATCTCAAAGGGGTGTATGGCTGGGTGGCATCTTGAAGATGCGACTGTGCTGTTCCCTAGGCAGACTTGCATGCCTGTACCAAGGTGGTGATGTAACATGAACACAGTATTAACCCCTGTGGGACACCAGAAAAAAAGAATTTGGGGAACACATGTAAAATCCACCCAGGCCACCTGTCACTTATCCAGCTGATATTTTTATTATTACAGGGACAGTTTCAGTCAAGTACCCTAAGCAGGTTTGTCAACCTTGGTCGGCTGACTGGCATAATATTTTCAATTCGAGACACTCTACATGAATGAAAATGAGGCACACTCATTTACATGTATGTAACAGTTTTATTACCTTGTAAATAGTCTGTAGGGCTTGCAAACTACCCCAACGCTATTGATGTAGCTAAATTTTGGTTTTTAATGGAATACAGATTTGCTGTAATATCACTTTGCCGTTTATACATTTACATCTATATAAGCTACATTTCCAAAAACAAGCTTTCACAATTTTGCTCATCTAACATAGCCTTATTACATGTATATAAACACCTATGAAAGCCGATATACTCACGTCTAACGATGAACGAGTAAACTTTGCTTGTTAGATTTATCACTTACTGCCCCCAAGTGGATAATCACATGAATGGCAGAAACGCGCCAGAGGTATCTGATGTAAGATTTGCTTCACGGAAATTTGAAAAGAGTTCATCAAAAGTATCAGCCAGCTGACCAATTTTTCAAAACAGAATATACTATTGATAACTTTTATAACCGATTTTTTCCGTGGGACACGATGGCTGCCACAACTGTTTCAACGAAAAACACTCGTGTTGTTTTCTGGTGCTATTATGGCGCTATGGGACAAATGAAGCTTTAAATCGGCGGGGGGATACTGTAGGTCTGTCTAACCTAATAAAGTAACCAGGACAAATGGACTAAACTCGTCGTAAATACGAAGACAGTCCCATTCACCTACCGTCATAATACTCTTTTTTTATTAACACACAGATTGTAGCTCAGCAGGTGGCGGTATACAGATTTCAAATGATTTAGACGGCTATCAGAGAGTAAAAAAACGGCGGAACCAAAATATCGTTACTCTCAGTTTCCGGCCGGTATTGTATTCGGTCTGCACATCCGGTGTAAACAGTATGCAGGCAAGACACGTAGTATCTGAAATGCTATGAAATTCAATAGCAAATTCCATAAGCAAAACAGACCTTTTTTTAGTCCAATTACTAAAGCGTCAAACACAAGATGAATGCGGAATCCACGGCTGAAAGGGCGCTAGGAACCGCCTCGTCTGCAGGTGCTTCAGCACCAATTCCGGGCAGCACTGCGGTCCTGACGATACCGCAGACGTGCCGCCTGGTGTGTGTCGAGTACCCTGGGTACGTAAAAAATGTGGATAAGATGCTGGAAACTGTTGGAGGCGAGAAGGGAGTGTCTAAGGTGAGAAGCGCGACTTTAAATATGTATAGGATAGAACTGAAAATTAATTTATTAAAGTAACATTTTATCGTTAAATATTAATTTTAACCAACACCATAGTTAGTAACAGTTTTCTAGATGTAGTCTGAATTGAAGACTAGAATCTCAAATCTGTTGTATTTCTTAGTCTGTTGCAATGTTAACTGTTAACGCATCACTGTTATTGTTGGTCAACTGGATGCAGACCTACAGTGATCCCTCTAGAAGACTTGAGTTGAAATTTCGCCCACGGGACCCCTACTGTCACCCCGTGTGTGGAAACCGTTTTCCCTCCACCAACTTGTTACTTAGAGTGAGAAGGAAAGTGCGCAAAGGAGGCACTGGGGAGGTGCGGATGTTCATGGAGATCATGGGTGTTGTCAGCACCACATATAAATTCCAAGGTAAGATGCGATTAGTGAATGATGGTGGTTGTGAATGGCAATCCATTCTTCACGCCATTGGTTAACTAGGTTTTCTTTCCAGGGATGGCAGATTTCCAGTATCTTGCGGTGCATACACAGGCTGATGGCAATCAAATATCTCTGTATGACAAGATCATCCTACATAAACCAGAGAAGAAGGAGTTTTTTGACATGGATGTGCCCTTGTTTATCCCTCCACCTATCTTCTCTCGCCTCGACACCCCAGTTGACTATTATTACCGTCCAGAAATCCAACACAGGTAGTTGTTTCTGTGTGACAGGATTAGGATTACAAAGGGACATAAAATTTCTGGAACCTTTCCATGGGAAGTTAAGCTGGGGAATTTTGGAAATATTCTCTCTGTGGAACCCTGCATGAGCTGTCAGATACAGCAAAGAAAGCAAATTGTATCAATAACACAACATAGAATGTGGCTTATAAGCAGTGAGTTTTGATGCAAATGCTTATGTTGGGGTGTTTTTACACACACATAATTGCTCACAACTTCACAAGTACTTGGTTACACAATGATATCACTATTAGGGCCATGTGACCCTGTTGTCCTACTCACCTGCCTACTCTGGGTCACAGTGGGAAGGTAAAGGCGGGGCGGGATTGACTCCCATAATCCTTTTTTTTGGGCAGTGGTGGCTTAATGGTTAGGGAAGCGCACTTGTAATTAAAAGATTGCTGATTTGAATCCCTGACCAGCAAAGCACCACTGAGGTACCCTGAGCAAGGTACCGCCCCACAAGTACTGCTCCCCAAGTGCTGAATTAGCAGCTCCCTGCTATGTCACAATGTCCCATATGGGTTAAATGCAGAGGACACATTTTGTTGTTGTGCACTGTGTGCTGTGGTGTGTCAACAATGATCACTGATCACCAAATTCTAAATTAGTGCCGTCAAGGTGTTTATATTAACTACAAGTTTCCTGTTATAGGCTAACTTGCAATTTTGCAAATTTCCAGTTTATTCCCATTAATTCCCATAGAATTTTTCCAACTTTGAAAATTCTGGAATTTTTGCAACCCTACACAAAATGTGTGTTAGAGAAAGATCTTGCGTGTCTAGTTTTATCCTGGGTCTGACCGTCTGGTTGGGTGGTGTTGATGTAGTGACCCCCATCTGTCCTGCATAGGGAAGGCTACATGCCCCCGTCAGTCTCCAGCGAGAACCTCATTGGGCAGAGCCGGGCACGTCGCCCCCACAATGCCATCTTTGTGACCTTTGAGGACAAGACCGTGCCTGTGGAGCCGCTGGAGGCTGCCGTGCAGAACTGGAAGCGGGTCTGCCTTCACCCGAGTGAGACCAAGGCTGAGGAGGAGATGAGAAAGGTGGGTATGCTGGTCGCACTGCCTCTGCAACATCTACAGCCATCATATGTGAGCAGCTAGCTGGCTCAGTGAGCAGCATTGTCTCATAGTGGTATGTGCTGTTATGGAATCACAGCAACACCTCAAGGGGGTATGGGGTCATGATGTCATCTGGGACTCTTATTGGGTGGAATCTTGCTCTGTGTTTGGAGGAGTTTGTTAATTTGTGTGTGTTTTTTCTGTGTATGGATCTACTCCTGAAATACACAAAAAACCGGCTATTGTTTAGTTACAGCAACATGCAGTATCCAGTCAGCTTAACATTCTGCTTAACATGACGCTCAGTAAGCTTTTTTTTACTATTTAATCATTGATTTTATTTGTGCCTCCTGCTGTCCAGTACAGGCGGCAGTTATCTTAACAGTACGGTAAACACCTGCAGCCTTCATATCTTACTCCAGACAGCAGTCTGCCAAGTAGGTTCCCAGCTATGGCCAGAGCTGAAATGTTGTGCCCCTGCCCAGTGTTGGTTCACCTGTGCCGCCGTTCTCATCCCTGAGTAGATGTTTGAAAGAAGGCCCATCTGGTCACGCAACGCCGTCAAGGCCAACCTGGATATCCACCCAGAGAAGCTGAAGTTGCTGCTGCCATATATGGCATATTACATGGTAAACAAAGACCGGGTCTTGTGGGGAGTGGTGAGGATAGAAAAAAATGGTTAAAAACACTGCAAATAATCAAATAATGATAAATGATAGAAACGATATTTGATGATTCTCTGGCACATTTGTCCAGTTGACGGGTCCATGGAGGAGCCTGTGGGTCAGGTTCGGATACGATCCCAGAACTGTGGCGGAGGCCAAGATTTACCAGGTGCTGGACTTTCGGATTCGCTGCGGGATGAAACATGGTATGTGACCGTAAACAAAGTGGTCCTTTAGAATTGCCGTTAAATGTCATTCTTCTGTCTTGTACCCTGCTATAAATTAGGCAGGATACCTATAAACTTTAGCCTGTAAATGTACCACTGTGTGCTGTCGTGCTCAGGATACGCTCCGAATGACATGCCCGTGAAAGCCAAACGAAGTACCTACAATTACAGCCTGCCCACCACCATCAACAAGGCAGGTGAGGCGTTTTGGTGAGATGAGTTGTGGGAGCAGCGGCATTAGAAAGGGATGACAATGTCCTCACACCCCTGGCCTTCACACAACACATTGTCGCGGTTGGATAACAATTGGCCTGCAGAGATCTGGCTCACGCCATGTAAGATAATCATGCTGGGCAGTGAGGTGACTGTGGATTACTGGTCATCAGCAGTGAGAGACTTACTCCTGAGCTTGCCTGTGTGGTAAATACGTTTTCAAAGGAAGGTGGATTGGTGGGGGTGTGAAACAGAGGGAGATATGTCGGGGGAGGGGTGGGGGGAGAAATAAACCCATCTGTCCATAAGTGTACTTCTACCTAACTGATCATCAGGGACAGTCATCCCATGATAGGCGGGTCTGTTTATCTCCCAGTTCCCCAGCCAGCCAGCCTGCGGGAAATCACACAGGAAGGAAGCACAAGCTTGGGGCGCAAGCCTGCCCCCCCCAGGTACAAGCTGAAGGTGCGAGAATGACGGCATGCATTTAAATTCAGAATGGTTCTGAGGTATAGTTGTTATGAGTATTGCTGAAGGTATTGAAAATGGCTGTAAATGTAACTCGTTTTACATGAACTGTGAGTATGGAGAAAATGACAACAGGAACCAAATTGAAAAATAGGGAGTCAATAGTCTTGTGTTTTTTGGTAAAATGTGCTTTTCCCATTCCTCCACCAGGAGTCTGCGTACATATTCCGTGAGGGAACGTTGCCACCATACCGGCAGATGTTTTACCAGCTCTGTGATTTGGATGTGGAGCGGTATGATCTTAATTGCATCTACTTGATTCTTTTGGAGGAGGAGTGTTGGAGCACGGCGTCTCCACCGGGTCCGTGGATGAGAAGAGATTCACAGCTGACACGGGGAGAAGTTGCAAATCACCGGTTTATTGTCTGACAGATTGCAATCCGGGAGCGGCCGTCTGACATACATTCAGCATGTATAGGAGGAGGCTCTGCCATATGTATCAGTTGTATCCCTTTTAAAGCCCTTTGGGCATCTCCCCCCCCTTTCTCAGTACCTTCCGTCTACGTGACAACCACATGTGTGATTCTAGCCGGCTCGTACAGTAGTTGTCCTTCTGGAAGGCTAAAAGATAAGTAGGGGCCGCTGATGTTCTCTGTCGCCCTCCCTATCTGTTCCGATTAGGTAGCCTTGCCTTGCCGGCGCGCCAGTCAGTTCTAGTTTTGATTAGTTACAGCCTTATAGAATCATTCCCTTTATTTTATTAATTATTCCCTCAGGAGGTACCAGATATGTTAAATGTAGATGTGTTTATTCTCTGAGGCGCCGCAGAAAAGAACAGCATTGGCGGTAGGAGCACTTCAAAGAGTGTGTGAAGCTGTTAGCTTCAGTCACTGTTGAACACTAGGTGGCATAGCGGTGAAGCACCTGGTGCTTGTGATCAGAGTGTCTCACGGCGCTGCGTCCCCACAGCATAAAGACGGTGATCCACCAGAACGACGGGCAAGAGTTGGAATGTGACGAGCGGGACGGCTGGTGTCTGCCCCGGACGGCGGACGAGCTGAGGGACATCATGTCCAACATGATCAAGCAGATCATCCGCGCCAAGCGGCCAGGTACCTATGGACCCTTCCCCACCAGTAGCAGATACACAGCCCAAATTAAGCCCCATGCCAGTGTGGGGCAGCCCCCCCACACTTTTTTTGCTTGCCCAATAGACAGTGCAGATAGACAGAAAGTCTTAGGGCGCTTGCTTAATTCAGTAAAAATACTGCTAATTTATTGGTTCTATAACGAAAAACATTAATCGTTAATATTGCTTACAAAAAATATATATCACATTAGAAACAACCAGTAGTTTTAAGTAAAACATTTGTTTCAAGTAGTAATAAATTGAAACCCAAATTATAGTTCTAAAAGGGCTGCTAACTGACAAGCAGTCTCACTGGGTGATTTTTGATTAGTAACACCTTTGCAATAAATAAAGCATCAAACATTTGCATTTAGTATCCCATTGGGAGCCAATGAACAGTCAAAAAATTATGACTCAATAAAAAGTGTCTGTGTGGAACGAATGTGCAGATATGTTACATATTGCTTGTCAATGGACTTCTGTTATGAAAACAATAAATTTGCAGTGTTTTTATTGAATTAAGCAAGTGCCCTAAGACTTTCTGTGAGCACTGTACCTTTGTTCCCCGTTATAACTTTTTAATGTACTTCCATGGGAAGCCATTGCATGGATAATAGATGCACTTCATCTAAACCAGGCCCGTAGATTCCCGCCTTTTACAAAGGCGTCCCTGTTTTTCTTCAGCTCCTTGTCCCGCCAAGACCAAGCGTGCTGCGGCAGAGCCAGAGAGCGCGGACGAGGAAGAGGGGGCCGACGAGGATGAGGAGGAGTTTCAGCCCTCGGAGGGAAGCGACAATGAGATGGAGACGGAAATCCTAGACTACATGTGATGCCGCATGGAGCTGACAGCCCGCTGAATGCCATTGGACTGAATCGCTGAATCGTAGCAGTTTTTGGATGATGCATCACCTTATTGCATTTCATAGATTTAAATCAGGCACTTAAAATTAAAAATGTTTTCTGAAGCAATACTGATTGTCCCTGCCTTGAATAAAGTAAAGCTGATATATTTGCTTGTCATCTAGGCTGCACATCTTTTTTATATATACGAGTTCCTTTTTATGATTCTTTTGCAGCAGGAAAGTGAGAAATAAACCTGAAAAATAAAGTGCCCCAAAGACTGTGCCGTCTTTGTGCATCGTGTGTTTTTGTTTAGATGTCACCTGTAGGCATTAATAGTCCTGTAACGTACACAGTAGAGTGTGCCAGGTTAATGTTTGCTAAGGCAAAATGTACCACCAAGTGCAGTTCAGCGAACAATTTCAGATCCTGCCTTTAAATGCCCCAAAAAAGACATTAACAATGGAAGCTTGCCATATCTGTATTTCACATAGGCACAAATCCAACAATCCGTGTATTTTTCAACTGCTCATCCTGGGCAGGGTTGTTTGGGGGTGAGGGGTGGAACCTGTTGCAGGAAGCATAGGGCACCTGGCTGGGATACTCCCTGGGTGGGAAAGTCATGCACTCATTAAAATCATCACAGAAGCTTGCATGATCACATCATTTCATGCTGACACATTTCAGTTCTTCCGACTAGCTTGTTAATAACTACTACTGATGTCCCTGAACTGCGGGCTTACATAAGTTTTGCGAAAGCAGGTCGTTGATAATATATCAGGAAAACAGATAAGAGTTTCGCATTTATAGCCAGAATAGAGGGACTGGAGCCCCAACAATCTGCGCTTTCAGACGAAATGCTGCGATTCGTGCTGGCCGCCGTGTTCCTGGGATCTGCGTCTGCAGCTTCTGTAAGTCCTGAAGCTCTGGGGTGACAAGGAGGAACATCACAGGCTGGGTGGCTTTATCACGTTGCATTTTGACTGGCTGTAATTGATGGATGGTTTGGTTTAGCTGCTAATGGCACTACATGGCTAAAGTCTCACTGCCATAGTCAGGTCGCTCTCCTGAGCTGAATGGACCGTATCTGTTATATTGTGTGGATACCCCTAACTCCCTTGTGTGTCAGTGTATGTATCTTCTCTATTATTTTTATTTATTAGCTATTGTTCTCTTTTTCCCCTCTCCCTAATGTGTCACACTAATCTTGTTTACATTTCTCTGCACTTTATGTGTGTGTGTATATATGTATCACCGCGGTCCTGGGGGACATAATTCCGTGCCACTATTTGCTGTAGATCAGGGTTCTTCAAATCTGGACCTCGATTCCAAATCCAGGCCTTGTTTTCAGTTCTCCCAGGTAGTTAGTTTAATAATTACTGATTCTGATTAGCCAGAGGCTTCACACCTGACTGACAGGTAAAGGAAGGCTGGAAAACCAGCAGTGCTCGGATCTCGAGGACCGTGATTTGAATAACCCTGCTGTAGATTGTATATAGATGGTATGACAATAAAGACCCACTCGAATTGACTTGACAGATTCAGGCCTGGGCTGTAAGCTTCAGGGGCAGTTCTAGGATTTGACCCTTGAGGGGGCTCAGCCCCCAGCCAGGCTGCCATTTTCATTCTGAAGAAATGCTGGATGAAATGTGGTGTCTGTGCGCTCCCACAGCTGGGGGTGGTGTACACCGAAGGAGGAATGGTGGAAGGAGAACACAAGAGCCTGGGCCTCTTGCATTCCATGGACGTCTTTCGGGGCATTCCGTTTGCCGCTCAACCTGGAAGGTTCGAGAAGCCCCAGCCTCACCCCGGCTGGGATGGTAGGTACTGTCAGGAGACCAGGGTTGTCAAATTTGGTCAGCTGGCTAGCGTGAGATTTTCAATTCAAGACAAGTCTGCACACTCATTTCCATGCATGTAACAGTTTTATTTCCCTTTAAATAGTCTGTAGGGCTTGCAAACTACCCCAATGCTCCCAATGTAGCTCATTTTAGTTTGTTAATGGAACAACATAGATTTGCCATACGATTTCTTGCATGAGCATGAGAGTCAAAAAACACGAGTGTCATGCTAGATACGTGACAGTTGGCAACTCTACAGGAGACTCTCCTGAGCTGGCGCCAGAATAACATGGACGTAATGATGTCATGTCACCCACAGGTGTCCTCAAGGCTACGAAGTTCCAGAAGAGATGCCTGCAGCTGGACTTCACCCAGACAAGTACTATGGGCAGCGAGGATTGTCTCTACTTGAACATCTGGATTCCTCAGGGCACCCAAGGTACTTTTCTGGACAGCTGTAATTGATATGTATCTACATAATGGGTAGGTTTCTGGTGGCTGCTATGGGTTTCTGGTTTACTTTTAATCAGAACTACAGTTAGAAGCTGGTGTTAACCACAATAATTCTTTAACTTTGGAAACCCTTCTTGATCATTATTTCTCAGTGTCTACTGGTCTCCCAGTCATGATCTTCATCTACGGTGGTGGTTTCCTGATGGGAGGATCTCAAGGACCCAACTTCCTGGACAACTATCTGTATGATGGCACGGAAATTGCCCACCGAGGCAATGTTATCGTAGTGACCATCAACTACCGAGTGGGAACTCTGGGATTCCTCAGCACAGGAGATGCCAGCGGACCAGGTGAGGGCTTCACAGCATTCTGTGTCTCAGGAACAACCACTAAAAAACATCCACCCATCTGTCTTCTGTACCACTTATGCAGGTCATGGTTACCAATATGGATACCAATGGAAGGAATTAACTGATGATAAATAATGATCACATGGAAACAATGGGAAATTCCCAGTTAAAATTTCATCTTGAACCTTGTTATAAGAATAAATAAAAATGTTATCAACTACAATATCTGGCTTTCAGGTTCTCAGATGAAAACACTGTAGTTAGTGGTACTTATGGGGTCAAAATGGCTTGTGAGGGGGCTTTATGGGAAAGCAGTCCTCATGAGGGAGCATTATGGGAAATCTGTCCCTGTGAAGGGGCATTATGGGAAAGCTGTCCTTGTGAAGGAGCATTATGGGAAAGCTGTCCTTCTAAGGGGGCATTATAGGAAAGCTGTCTTTGTGAGGGGGAATTATGGGAAAGCTGTCCTTCTAAGGGGGCATTATGGGAAAGCTGTCCTTGTGAGGGGGTATTATGGGAAAAATGCCCTTCTCATTGCCAGGAAACTATGGACTGTGGGACCAGCATGCCGCCATCGCTTGGGTGTACAGAAATATCAAAGCCTTCGGAGGCGACTCCAGTAACATCTCCATTTTTGGAGAGTCGGCTGGTGCCGCCAGTGTGAACTTCCAGGTAAGGCCCCTCATAATCAGGCCCTCAGACCTTCCTTCTAAATGTACAACATGCTTAGCCGTGACACTATGTGACATCAGAATATATTTGATGTTAGTCTGTTAGTGGAAGCTTTCCTGAAATGTCCTGGACAGCACATCCTATCCTGCACAGGGCAGCTTAGTCAGTCAAGTCCATGTTTTGTGTGTTTGTGTGTCTACCTACACAGATTCTTACTCCGCATAACAAGGGACTGATCCGAAGGGCAATCTCCCAGAGCGGTGTTGCCCTCTGTCCCTGGGCTATCAACAGGAACCCCCGTGCCATTGCTGAGCAGGTTATTACCACTAAGGGGCTGAAATCAAACAGAACCCGAATATGATACCATGGATGTTGAATCCCAATAATTATGACACAGCACAGCAGCCTATCATCTGTCAGACCTCACATATTTATTCCCATCCACCAGTATGGTTTACGAGACAAAACAGTCACATCAGCTGCCACTGACATCTATTTCCCGCTCTGCGTATTCTATCCTGCACAAGGTTCCTTTGTGGGAACATTCAAAAAGTGAATATTGGATACCCTGGCTGCTCTTTGCCCCTTCAGATCGCCAAGAAGGTGGCCTGCCCCACAGACGAGAAGCTGATGAGCTGCCTCAAGATGGTCGACCCTGTGCAACTCACCCTCGCTGGCCCCGTGAAACTCAAGGGCTCTCCGGAAGGTATGTGCCAGCTCAAAGTGCTAGCTAGTGATTTATTTCAATGTAGTCATCATAGGGGATACAACATTCTGTGAAAAAAATTCTCAGAATGTGACAAAAGATACAGTTGTCACATGACAACTACAAAAAACAATCTTGGTCACATGGTCATGATCTTGCTCTGGCTTTGTGTTGTTAGCCCGATGTATCGCCTGCTTCTGCAGACCCAGTTGTGTTCCACCTTGTCCTATCCCCGGTGGTGGATGGTGACTTCCTTCCTGATGACCCTGCCAACCTCTTCCCCAATGCTGCCAACGTCGACTACATTGCTGGTATCAACAACTGTGACGGCCACATGTTCACCGGCTTAGATGTCCCGTCTATCAACCAACCCTTTCACCACACTGAACCGTAAGTCAGTAAGATATTAGAAATTCACCAGATCTCCACCTGTGAAAATAAACAAAACATAGCTTTGCCCAGAACCATCCAAAATTAAAACAATTAGTAAAATCATGAAATGGGAATAAATGTGGGTGTGCACTTTGATGTGAAGTAATGGTAAGGAGGTGATACTTTCTGGGCAATCCTTTTTGAAGACCTCCCTTCATCACTTCAGGGCAGTTGTGAAACAGCTACTGACCACCTTTACCAAGGATAAGGGGGAGGAAGCAGTCACCTTGGGCTACCAAGCATACACCAGCAGCTGGGGTGACAAGCCCAGCCAGGAAACCATCAAACGGACTGTCGTGGATCTCGAGACTGACTACATCTTCCTCGTGCCTACACAGACAGCGCTCTATCTGCATGCAAAGCATGCCAAGTAATCCACATTCATGTTTTCTCTAACCGAGTTTTTATCAAAAATGGCTTAACTTATCTGGGGGCCCAAGGCTGACATCAGAATGAACACTCAAGTATTGCTGATTTAATGAACCATTCTCTGAACCAGCCGTGTTTGCCAGAGTCCTGGGCTACTGCCTAGGATAGCCTAAGCGTTAATTTGCCCATGTGTTATTTGTTAAGTTGTGACAACACAATTAGCATTTCAGATGGATAATTCAGGTCCAGAGAGTAAAAGTTCTGACCAAGATTTTGTTTCAACCAACCAGTTGAATATAGTCACAGTCACAGAGTACTCAACTGGTTGGTTGAAACAAAATCTCGGTCTAGACTTCTGCTCTCTGGACCTGAAGTACCCACTTCTGCATGTTAATATTCCAGAATTTCCCCCTGAGAAAATGAAGCCCATCTTAATTTTAGCAATATAAATGGACTCCCCAACTCTGGTCCTTGTAAGCTAATCCTAACCCTTAATCAAAGTACCTCAGCAGCCATTTGTTCCTGCCTGCCTTTACTCTACAGAATGGCACAGACCTACTCCTACGTATTTTCCATGCCCTCCCGAATGCCAGGCTTCCCCAGCTGGATGGGGGCCGACCATGCAGATGATCTGCAGTATATCTTCGGCAAGCCCTTCACCACACCCCTAGCCTACTTACCTCGCTACCGTGATGTGTCTAAGTACATGATAGCCTACTGGACAAACTTTGCCAAGACCGGGTAAGTTCCCCATAATACAGTTTTTCCAAATCCGGTCCTCAGGGACTCACAGACAGTCCACTGTCTGGTAGGGAGCTGGGAGGGAGCAAAAATGTAGACCATCTCTGGGTCCCCCAAAACTGGGTTGAGAAACACTGCCCTAATGTCACTTTCAACAGTCCATTCACCTCAACATGATGAGTTAGAAGATGAATAATATTTAAATCAAGGGAGGCCAATCTTGTCCGCAAAGAGCCAGTGTCTATGCAGGTTTTTGGCATAACCTTCAGGTCAGCTGTTCAAACCCAGGTTTGAGGACTCTTCAGCCAATCAGTCCTCTAATTAGTAATCTAATTCGGAAGTTGCAGTGAAAACCTGCATACACAGCGGCCCTTTCTGGATAAGATTTCCCACCCCTGATTTAAATGATAGTTAGATGTATTTCATTAGTAGATGCAGGGTGACTATAGGGTTTTTGCATGATTTCACAATGAGTCATGTCATAAGTATAGGACAGGAGCAGATGGCATGATCCTAGATAGACAATTTAAGACCTCATCTATGGACAGATGTTGTTCCTCACTTGCACATGCCAGTGGCTGGTGTCGGCAAACACACTACCTGATTGGCTGTCTCCCTACAGGAACCCCAACGAAGGGGAGTCGTCTGTTCCAACCCAATGGCCTAACTTCACCAGCACGAATAATCTGTACCTGGAGATCAACAACAAGATTAACACAGACTCTGTGAAGCAACGGCTGAGGACCCGCTTTGTATACTACTGGGACGTCACCTACATGGACTTGCCCACGGTCAACAGTACATCTCCAAAATAACTGCCCATGGGCGAAGCCTTTCTCACCTATCATCTGTCATGGCTAAAGGTCACCAATTCTGTCATAATAATGATAATAATTTGAAGCATATTAGACTGATTGATTTTTTTTTGGGTTGGTACATGACCTTTATCATCATGTCAAGTAAATGATCACAATATATAAGTGAAATTGTTATGCATTGATTCTGATTTTTTCTGTTTCTTTTATTCCTAAAGGATTCCAAAAAAGAGCAGTGTTTCTGAAAATAACACATAATACAAGCATAACACATAAAACGTAGCTGTCACACACAATATTAAAAAAGACTTGCAAAAATATGAACCAACCTAGGCACATCTATTTCTCACATTATAGAATACAAATCACCTTTACTTTTGTAAGATTTTTACACATCTCTCATGTTGATGCATTTGTACCTTAAAATACTCCATAGCTATATACTGTTGAAATAGCATAAATACCAGTTTATCCATCCATTGTCAATAACTGCTTATCTAGTAGTAGAGTTGTTGTGATCCTAGAGCCTATCCCAGGAAGCATAGGGCATGAGGCACGGGATAGCACACGCACGCACTCACACACACACATGCACACACACACACACACACACACACACACAAACACACACGCAAGTTTGTAATTATATCTTTGCGGGGACTCTCCATTGATTCCATGGGAAAAACTATAACCCCCCCACCCAGCCCCAACCTTATCCATAATTAAGTAACCAAACAAAATATGAGACTTTTGGCATTTTTAGAAAATTGTTATCCAAATGTGGACCTGAAAAATGTCCCCAAAAGTAAGGAAGTTTTAGGTTTTACCACACTATGGGGACATTTCGGTCCTCAAATGTGACCGATGTAACAGATACCCCTCACAACAGTTTAGGCCTTTTCAGCCTCCCCCCAAATAAATGTATCGTAAGTATGTATCGGCTTAAGTCAGGAATAGTTTATTATTTATTTGTTTTATTAAATATTTATTAATTATTATAATAATATTGTATATGCCAGGATCGTGGAGAAAACAGAAGACTGGACCCGAAGTGCCGGAGATGTTTTGTACCAAATGCTGGCGTACAAAATACAAAGGACAAGGCAGAAGCGTGGTCAGGGACTGAGCTGGAAGATCATAAGCCGAGATGGTCAGTCCTACACCAACACCCCACGTAGGGAAGCGGGAGACACAGGAGGATGAGATGGGGAGGGGCGGCAGGCAGGTGGGTAAGTAGGACGGCAGACAGGATGGCAGGGATAGGGAAAGGAAACAGGAGATAAAGGTTATACGCTCAGCAAGGCTCATCTGGGATGGTAACAATACTTCGCGATTAGAGTGAAGCAGTGATCGTCTTTTGACAGCAATCGGATTGCTTGCAGATGGGTGTGTGTCTTGATTTCCAGCGTCTAGCCTCCCCGATTTCCCTACTCATACTGGTTAATGGCTCGACCCTACAGTATTTTTTAGTAGCTAATATAGTAACGGTATACTGAACACATTTGGCGAAACAGACCAGTAATAGGAGATTATAGCCTATCCTAAACCCACAAATAATTCAATAAATATATAGATTTTAAAAACATTTACGTTGTTTAAAAACCCAACGATCGCGCACAGTTCCAGTGAATTTTACCGTTGAATTTTACCTCAGACAATCTCTCGCCTTTTTCACTGAATTTAAAAGCGCGTCTCGCGCGCTGTAGTTTGCGGTTAGATCGAATCTGGATGAACTGCGTTTCTCTGTCACTGTAAATTAGAAAAAAAAAATGTTTCCATTAATTGAATCTAAAGTAACCCACTGCAAAATATGTCTACTATGTTTAGTTGCTGAGCCCTAATTTTCAAGTCGTAGAGTCCCTCCTGCTTGACAAGGTAATGACTGAAGTCTTTTGAGTTTTTCAAGTCAGTACCAAATATAATTTTACTAACATCCAAGCAAGCCAAGAAAGCTGACTGTTTTTTTTTCTTATATTAATTATATCCATTGCAATAAATCCTACTGGGTAATATTATTTAAACATATAAACACTGCAAGAGAAACACCTAGTGTTGGCTCACAGCCCACTGCTGGTGTACTCAGCTGGGGTCTTGCCGAAGGTCATTACTGGATTGTACAGTTTGTAAAGAGAACCATGGGAACATTACAGGCTGCCCTTCTCATGGCCATGGAATGACAAGCTGTGGGAGCAGCAAGTCTTCATTTCCTAGATCCAGAGGAACACTGACCTCTCGTGTATCTAGGCTAGATTTGTCAAAGATTTGTGTGAAAATATATACTAAACTGGGGTTTAAAACTGGGTTTCCTGAAACTGGGCTTACCCTCAAAAGTTATGGATGTATTACATTTAAACTCTAACCATCCTAAATATTAGTAAGAATGAACCAGGGAAGTCATATTTGCAGTACACCTTCTGACCTGGGTATATTGTTCTGCATTTTTTGTGTTAGTAAATTCAGGAACACTTTACTCGAGGGGCACAAATAATGTTCATAATAATAATAACTGAACCACTTACATTCCTCATAACTACTATTCTCAACTTATGCCTGGTCATTATCCTAGCTCATATAACTTATCTTTCTTTCTCTCTCTCTCTCTCTCTCTCCCTTCTTCTCTTTCTCTCTCTTTCTCCCTCCTCCCCAACAGTAACCAGTCTTCTCTATAGACCTTTGTACTCGAATAGTACACGATATAACTATATACTTGCCTGTTTATATGTGTGTCTTTGCCTGTTTAATGTTTTTCTGTCTAAATTGTCTGTTTAGCCGTCCATTGATTTGCCTGTGTGTATGGCTGTTAATGTCTCTGTCTGTCGTCTGTATTTGCCTGTCCATCTGTCTGCCCGTCTGCATCCATCTATACAATCAGTTTAATTCTGTTCAACTTGCCATCAGTTATTTTGCTTGTTACTGTTTTCACTTTATTTCACAATATTAGGGATGGGGTGATGTGGGCTTGTTTGGAGAAATTTTTGTTTATACACAATTGGAAATAAATATAAAGTTGTCCTCCAACGAGGGGAGGTGGTGGCGGGACAAAAAAATAAAATAAATAATGTTCATAACATTCATTGCTATTACTTATGTATTAATTAACCACAAATTATGTCTTAGTCATACTGATCTCATGGTCGTTCATCATTATCCCAAGCAGTTACTATATCTGTTAATTCTGTACATCTTTGTGAACTACTGAAGGAACAACTAAGGAACTCCTGAAGGAAAAAGTAATGAATAACACAAGTGAAATACTGATCTCATGTTTGTTCATCACTAATGAATCATGATGCATCTTTTATCTCAAGTACCTTCTATATATTTGTTCATGATTTGTTCTTCAATAGTAACTGAGTTACATCTAAGTATTCCCCCCCTCAAGTAAAGTGTTACTGTAAATTCATTCACATGGCTAACTCGTAGTGCTGCGGCTGGTTGGTGGTTGAAGGGTCCAACTGTTGTGACCTTGAGGAATGCATTCTAGGCACATATCATTGGGTGGTTTTTGACTCAATGTCTTCAGAAACTTCAAGGCTCGACAAGATTTTTTTAAAGCGTCCTCAAAGAAAAGAATCCGTCACTGAGACAATAAGCTCACATGTAGGTTAAAGGAAGTTTTTTTTATAAATAACAAGATAATGAATGTAAGTTATCCAGTCAGCCTTCGTCAAAGATTTACAGCTTTACTAGAAAGGTGCTATCATTCATTCAAAGGGCAATCTTCCCTGGCAAGGTAATGACAGGCTTGATGGCACAAAAGAAAAAATATATAGATACATATCCATGTGTTTTCAAGAATAAAAAAATAAAAGTTGTAAACTCAGGATTATTGTTTTTATAAAACAGACAAAAACCCATTATAGCAACATGACCCAAAGCCAACCAGATTCCCTATGTGAGCAGCTGCAGACTTAAAGACAGTGACTGAAGACCTCCGCCTCCTTTTGAATGCCATGCATTCCCACATTAATATCTGCCTTCACTGCAGTCATTCTCAGATTAAAAATAAATGCCTTACACCATTCATTGATGTCGTAATTGCCAGGACTTATCCTGTCAATGAATTTTGTTTCATTGTTTGTTTGTCTAATCGTAGCAAACCAGTTTAGAAAACTCCTTGCAGATTCTCTGTTGTAGCTTAATATATTGTAGTAAAACAAGGCTTGTATACATATATACACAAAATGTGACAATCAGGGGTGGACTAACTTCTCGGGGGGACCAAGGCTGACATACGTAGGGGGGCCCCTAATATTGATCATGAATCATTCGAGCTGATCGTGGATCATTCGAGCTGCTTTTTGTAGCCGAGAGAGAAACAAGAGAGAATTAAAAACCTTGGTGACAATGGTGAAACATAAAACGTTTAACAAGGTAAGTGGGAGGTGCTGAAATACCACCCATTACATCCACTCTTTGATAAGCACTCGGAATATGGCTTTGAGTAAAAACAGGGACTCTCAAAGTACATCCCAGATGGTTTGCAGTTCATTATCATCCACAGCAGGAAACCTAGAAGTGTCATATATAGTAAAACCTCTTATGTTAAATATGTACACAAACAATAGGTGGAATCAACCAAGTGCACCAGTAAATAAAGTAGCGTTTTTCCTTTGGGTAAAAAGTCCGCAGACAGCCTGTGTGCATTAGGGTTTATGTTAAAATGTCAGTGAGCAAACCATACCCACTGAGAAGCAGGGCAGGGCTTCAGATTAATTACTCAGTCGGCAGTGGCTTAATGTTGAGGAATGTGGAAGGCGGTATTAACTCACTGCTGAGCTGGTGCAAGCATGCTGTCATTCATCCCAGCCTCCCTACCATTACAGCTCAGAATACTGCTGACAAAGAACTCCATTTTTTCCCAAAATAATTTTCATTGTCTGTGTCCAATTTAACTGTGAATAATAGTTTGCAACAATCTTAAATACCCATGGGGCTTAGGCTCCTGCATAATATGTGTATATTGCAGAAGTGGGGACTCAAGTCACTGACTCGTAACTTGATGACTTGTGACTCAACTTGAGATTTGGACCCTATGACTCAAGAAGGTTATAGTCCTCACTCTAGATACCATAATGTTAACTTTATAATTTCAGTGTATATTAATTCTGTATTCATTTTCATTTGGCTGAATGCAAGGTCTCCTGAGATAGTTTGTTGGAAAGATGCTTCACTCCCTGCATATACACAGACATAAAAAACTGTATGAGGACAAACGTGGCAGAGTTGGAGACTCTCTATTCAACCTATCTCTGCCTATGAAGGACTTAACATCCAAGGTGCTGTGGCAGGTTTTTGCTACAGCAAGTTCTAATCACTTAAAGATAAAACTGACATAGGAAGGGACTCAGAACTGGATTTAGAATTGAGTCACAAATTTGATGACTTGGACTTGACTTGGACTTGAGAGCACATGACTTGAGACTTGACTTGGACTCTGCAAGGAGTAACTTGTTCCCATTCCTGGTATATTGATGAGCACATGAGAACAGCAAAGATGTTGCCCCTAAGTCTCCATGATGCCTGTTGTGCCGTTTATACACAAAGTTGAGGAGAATGATATAGGGCCAGGAGACTGTCTAACTGCATCAGTATCATGGCTGAGGGAAACATAAGCAGTACAAGTTTTCTGAACTATTTAAGGCTACATTTGAGTGGGATTCACCACTTAAGTGGCTGATATGCTTCTAAGAAACTCCGTGACACTAAAGCTGGTGTCCTGAACTTCAGATTCAGTTATGAATAAATGGAGGTCAGTGTGAGATGCCTTGCTGAAAAGCACATTTAAGGAAACTGGTATTTTAACATGGGGTTTATTCTGACTCCTGAAGAACTGCTCAGTATGAAAGAGTTTTCAGGCTGAAGTGGGAAAGGCCTAACTCCACTGGCTCCCTGCTAAACACATGGCCTCCCGGTCCCTTCTAACACCCCCCTCACTGACCTGACCTATATTCTGAGCCATTTAAAAAGTGGTCCCATCAGAGCTCTTGTGGCAAACTGGAACATCATGTCATCGTGCTTTTGGACTCATCACATCCTTTGGACACAGATCTAGGGAATAGAAGACACTGTCTGTTATAGACATGTTCCAGTACATCTCGCAAGCAATCATGCACACAGCCAAGTTTTACCTTTCTGTTTGATTTATTAAATGTAGGTTATAAATAGTCAGCAGTCAAACAAAGGATGTTATTTTTAAAAAAGTAAAGATACAGAGCATCAGAAACTTACAGACCTTTTACACTGAGAGGTTTCCGTATTTGAGAAACTAAGGTAACAGTTCAAACAAAAACACCAGACTGCAGTAGTCAAGAAGATGATATATATAGTATTCTAAACCAAAAAGCTACTTGTAGGATTAGAAAATTTATTTTACAAGCAGGTTTTTCAATATACATCACCAGAAAGCACATCATTGGGATAAAATGGCAAAACTACCATGCATTAAGTAAAACCATCCTCTCCTACCATTGCATCGTACAGTGACTATACTGACCCACAAAGCATTTAGGTTTGTGTTATTGAGTTCTGGGATCACGCACACAGCAGTGACAATTCTCAAACATATGAACCTGTGCTCAAGAGCCTGAGCTGCAGATTATGGTGGGAGGTGGTGGAGTGGATGTTTGATATGTAGGGTTTTGCCCTCAAATGCGCTCAAATCAAGAATCTAAACTGGGGAGAGTAAATAGAGTGATATGCATGGTTGACTTCTGGTGTAAGACAGTGCCATAGTGCATGTTGTGCTAAAACTACAGTGTCACATGGCATTTCTTGAAGATGATTCTAGAACAGTGGTTCTCAACTGGGGGGTCATGACCCCAAAGTGGGTCACGGTACCATTTTCACTGCATCATGGATTATGTGGCTAAAAAAAATATTTTGTAATGTCAGACTTTTGTCAGCCCTTATCTAGAAATATTTTTTTGTTTGTTTTACCGTGAGTTCTCCCTCGCCAGGTGGAGTAACTAAATATATAAATATATAACAAAAGACTTGGGGCCACGACTTAATGGCTGAGGAATATTGTGGGTCCTGATACTAAAAAACCCTTGTGAACCACTGCTCTACAACACTCTCTTTTCAGGTGTCCAAAATTTTAAGAAGTCTAAGAATTTATGAAAAAAAATTGTATTATTATAATTATATCTGATTGCTGTAATGTTTTAGTTAAAGGTTTAAATGCATCGGAGTATTATTATGAAAGAATATAGTAGCATGGCACGTTTCATTTACTATGATTCTTTAATTACTTTTTAGATCAATAGGTTGAAGAAACATAATTACATTGTAAGGAAATTAGCATCCACCCTGAATGACAGGAGAGTATCATATTAGGCATCATTATCTCAGTAAATGTCATTTTGTTCGAGATGTGGGCAGCTTCAACACAGTCAATATTAGTATATATTTCATTACAGCACATATTAGCAATGATAAAAAGCATTATGTGTATCAAGCACTGACCACAGTGCTATAGACATATAAATCTCAATTATTTAGCAGTTACATTAGTATGCCAGGAGATAAATTTGGTCAACAATGTTGACTCAATAATGTGTATAAAGGGCCGAAGTTAATATCACTCATCCATCCATATACCCCCCAGTTCAGCTAAACTGCACGTCTTTCGACTGTGGGGGCAAAATGGAGCAGATAGAATGTATTTATGTGAACGGCAGAATATGCTCGGCTGTTTAATGACAATGTTTAACACTTCTGTTGGCAAGTGGTACTTGCCTTAGAATTCACAGTGTTTTTAATGCTAATAAAAAAAAGATATCTCCTAGTTCAAGTGAGAAATATTCCCTTCTGGCCTCCTTTACTTTAGTTGAATCATTGGGTTTAATTCAGCTAGAAGTTTCTCAAAGAAGTACCACCTCTCCACTGGTGAGAAAAAGCTGTCAACATATCATCTGAGCTTACATTTAGTGGCAAGCAATGTGGCTTAAAAATCATGTGACAGTACGTCTGGATGTTTTGAAACTAAATAACACATTTTTCACTTATTGTGACTAAGCTTTATGAGGCCAGTCTAGATGGGATTTAAGATAAGCCAACAGAAGTGCAAGTATTTGAAAAAATTTTGTGCTGTCTTAAAGTCATATGCAAATGCTGAACATTTAAAGATAACAAGAGTTCATTTGAAATAAATTCTTCATGTACAAGATATTCGAAATATGTTTATAATCCATTAAGATTATATTGATACAAATACTGTATCATAATAATACCTATGCCCACTTATATTTACCAGAATTAAAAAGAAAAGTCTGAGTAGTAAAGCTTTCTTTCAGTTGTGTTTATCAGTTCTTAACATTGGAAAAATGGAGGAACCCAAAAGTATAATTTATTCTGATGAAATATTTCCCTTTTCACAGGTTTATTTATGGATTTAAAGATTTCAACTCAGATTAGACAGGCCAATAGCTTTCATGTCATGCTCCTTAACTCAAATAAAAAATCAATTGCATTTGAATGTTACATAGAACGTAGCTTTTAATTATTCTGATTGATTTTTCAGCTTGGAAAAGACAGGCTAAGCACACTGACCGTATAAGGAATGGATCAGCCAGCGTGAATGTCAGAATATATTTCTCCCTTTCAAATAGTCAATGTTTTCTTCAGCTTAATAAAAAAATGCACCGCCAAATTGAAATTATTTGGTTAGACTCAGAATCATCAATGGCTAACACCGAAAACTGTGCCGCCCAAAATATAATGGATAATCTATCACAACACAAGAAATGCAATGTGAAATACTGAGAAGACTAGGAAAAGACTAGGCTGATTACCAATCAAACAAATACCAGATAAATTACAATATAGTGCACCATGTACCCATTACAGTGGAAATCTAATACAATGCTGTACACCACACTCATTCCACAACTCAGGCAATAAGTTCCCATTGTGAATACTACTGGCAACTAAAAACTTCAAGATCTCTTTTTTAATAGTAAAATATGTCTGCGAACATTTATAATAAATAGGCTTGATATTGTATATATTTGTATACCAATATATATCTATTTCTATACATACATCATATGAAAGACAAACTCAGCTATATGATGTCGTCTAGGAGATTGGGAGTGCCAAGCCAGTCCAAAGTTCTTGGTTCAGATGCAGCCATGATCATGCACATGAACTGCTTGCCAGTCCTCTTGTCAATAGGATAGATGGTGGTCGGCGTGAACCTCTTGTTGCTCTCCACAAACTCACAGAGCTGCTGGTAGACATCTGGGTACTCGTGTCGCAAAAACACTCCCCTGGTCCTGAGCTCACGCTGGATATTGATGAAGCATATCTCGCGGGCTTTCTGCCCCTCCTCCCCTTCCTTATCAATATCTGTGGTCCCAGGTGGTGGAGTTAGAATGAGAGTCTCCATGTCATTTTCCTTCCTGGACACATTCCTGGTCTTCTCTGGGCTGCAAGAGGCCAGAGCCACCTTAGCATACTTCCTGACAGCTGGGGCTTGTACTCTGGGTGAGGGCCCATCAGGCACTTGGTCGCCGACAGCGATGGACACATTGAGGAGGAAACATTCGCAGGGGTCATACTCATTGCCAACTGACTGTAGTTCCTTGCAATATTCACCTAAGTTTTCCTTGAAACTGTCCAGCTCTCTGAGGGACAAGTAGGTGGGGGACATAAGGAGGCTCTCGAGGCCGAACTTCAGAAAGTTTTTAGATGAGCCTGGGTTGGGGAAGCCCAGGAAAAGGATGCCCCTTCCGCGGGAGAGATAGCCTACTTTGGCAATGCGCGAGAAGGCTTTGTGAACCTCCCCTGTTTCCCGGCAGTACTTAAGGACATTCCTGCACACGCTGGTGATGCGACCATACAAGCAACACTCTTTGTGCATGTCCCAGTCCTCTCTGCGACAGTTCCGTGAGCAGTAGTAGGTATAGCAGCTGTGACAGGACTTGAAGTAGAGGCAGGCATTAAACAATGTGTCTGTTCGCTGGCACTTATTGTTAGAGCATGTCATGGTACCATCCTCATCAGGGCTATGCTCAGGTGAAAACTCCTCTGTGCTTCTCTGTAGCTGGTCAGAGCTGCCATCGATGTCTTTTATGACATCTGAGGTCATCTTTGCCAAAGTGGGTTCTTTATTGAGTAAGGTGGAATCCTCTGACTCCTTAGAACCTTCCTTTGATGAATCTTCCTTTGTTTCATCATCATTGATAAGCTTTTTCAGTTGGTCTAGCAGGTCCTCACTGGGCCTCCTGCTCACTGGTGGTTTATAGTCAATGACAAGATCTGCTAAAAGCTCATCAAGCTGTTCCAGACTTTGCTGCAGTGAGGAGCTGTTGTGAATTTTTCCTTTTGTAGATTCTACCGAGCATGACATCGATTCATGTTTAGATGCTTCTGGAGATATACTTGTACCCGAGTCTAGTACATCCCAGCTAGCAGAGCGTACTTCTGTTTTGTTGAGGTTGCTTGCGCGGAGGTCATTATCTGTGATGGTAATCTCTGGGGTAACAAACCAGAACTTACTCATGGTACTCCTCCCACCATCTGATGGGCTCCTGTCAGTCAAAGAGTTTTCAGAGAGGGACAAAGCTGCATATCGCCGGGGTGAACTCGAAAGATTGACCACCACTGGCTGGCGTCTGTCATCTGGGGATAAGGTACGTTTATCGTGGTACAAAAGGTTCTCATAGCTTCGACCACGATGGACTGGATGCTCCCTCTCAATGCGAGGATTGAGAATATTGTCCCAGGACTTGGAGTACAGTCGGGTGTCTGCTCCTAGTCGAGCTGGCTCCACATAGGAGTCACCATACCAGGGTGTTAGCATTGGGTCTTGCCTTGTTTTTGGTGAAGTGTATTGCGGGGTATGAGCTGAAGGGTGGAAAGTGGCATAGCTGGATATGTTCGAGTCATACCAGTCATCAGAAGGCTGGGACAGCCGTGGCCGCCGGCGACCTTCTGTTTGATATCCTCGAGACAGAATGTGATGTTCTGGTGAGGACATGAAGGACTCGTTTGCATAGAAAATCTTGGATGGAGTAGTTTGAATTGAGTAGGATTTTGGATCGTCCTCATAGTATGATTGAGATGGAGATGTCTGGATAAAATCTGGCCCCAAATCATTTGGGGAGTAATTTTTGGGATAAACAGGCGATAACGGGTATGGGTAAGGATCCATGTCTGTGTAATAAGGCCGAGAAGGTACTGTATGAACCATCCTTGGATTCTGCACATACTGGACCTTGGACATATAGTTTTGGCTTGGGATACCATATGGATCCTCCTGGTAGTAAGTCCTTGGGGTGTATATTCCTGGATCATCTGCATAATAGAATCTGGCTGGCACGTTAGGACTTGAGTGAGCCCTGCGTTCTCTCCCAAAGTATCCCCTTGACTCTGTGGGCGAAGGCATCCTCTGCATCGCAACCTCAAAAGGCTGAATATAGTTGTTTGGTAAGTAGTTAGAATAAAGGTATGGATACCGGTATTCCCCACTTAGGGAATCTGTTGGTGTTGGTGTCCTGGAGCTGGGGACTTGGCGTGGCACAGTCAAGCTGCGGCTCCCTCCACTGGAGTAGCGCTGCCAGGGCACTTCGGATCGGGGCATGGACTTCCATGCAGTGTGCTGCAGAACGGCCTCATCTGGCTTGATGTCTACACGACACCGGACATGAGGACTTGTGGCGGGCCTACTCTCCTCGAAGCGGTCAGGGATGTAAAGTGGAGAGTAGCGCCTCGCATCACTGCCCTGCGGCTGCAGCTTTATGGGATGCACCTCGTTCACGAAGGCTCGGTTGGTAGTGCTGGAGGTCTCCCGGCGAGGTGATAGCTCAGACCTCCTGGTAGGGTCCTGGCTGCCCCGATGGACCTCCCTCCCCCTCCGTGCCATGGGTGGGGATGCCTCAAAGTGCACGGGGGTAAGGGTGGTCTTAACTCGGGGGGCACTCTTTGACCGAGCTCTGCGGTTGTCATTGGACCAAGCCGCCGGCTCTCCAATATTTTCCGAGCCAACCAGCTGAGCTGGCAGCCTGGTGTTGAACAAGTCCGGCGAGGAGAACCGGAGGTGCCCTTGCTGGCCCAGAGCATTCCAAGGAATATCCTGGTGCACAACATGTCTGTCAGTCCTCCTGTATGGGTACTCCATGGAGGAAGTGAGGGTCTCGGGGTCGTCCAATGACTCAATGAAGTCAAAGCTACGGCAGAACCTTTTGTTGTTCTTCTCCAGTTTGTCCTCCGTTGTGTTCCGAATCCGGTAATCACATTGTGCGGGGGGAGGGGATATCTTCAGGTCCACGCAGGTGGGGTTCACGTCTATATCTGCGTACACAGTCGATACCAATATATCAGGTCTGTCCGTGCGTGTCATCTTAAGGGACTCTTCTTGTTTCCCCCATCAAAATGGTTTTAAGTTTAGGGTCCTCTATTCAAAAAGAGAAGAAGTACATGTCAATTAGTGAAACTGACTTTTTGTTTTTCATCATATATAATTGCACAAGAAGTTTTAAATTTCACTTTTTAGAAATTAAAACACAGTTTTTACAGCGACATGTAAAAGTACAAAAACTTACAGACAAGTGAATGATCTCAGTTTTTGATCATTTCAAATAAGTTTTAGATCATAATGAGTGAGTGCTGTACATATACTAACTAAACTGACTTACAATTTAAGAAAAATATCCGCCTCTGGAGTTGAAGCAGCTGTATTCATTCTTATGAAATTAACATGAAAGTGGTGGATGGAATGAGAATTGGACTTCATAATCACATGCAAGAACATCTTTTAATAACTTTTCATGCAGGAATATCTTTAAGTACAAATAGAATCAAACGAGTAATGAACACCAAACTGTACCAAGGCCTTGTACAAAATGTCCTGTAGCTTTATTTCTTTTCCAGTTTCACAATGTGCGGCCGTCCCCATTATAACAAATTACCTGACCTCAATTACTCAAAGAGGTGTGACACTAAAACATAGCACACGCCATTTCAGATGCACTGCTCACAAACAGGGGGTGCTCAGTTAAGAATAGGTCTGTCGGCCTCACGCCTTTGTTTACAACAGAAAAACTTTGCAACTGCAATAGCTCGAAATTGTTGAAAAATCCTCTGATGCAGTGTAAGTTAAACAAGAACTATCTGACCACTGAAACAGCCAAAAGTGTCTTTGAACAGAAGCGTAAAGTTCTAAAATTCTCTGTGACATACTCTGAATCCAGTACACATTCACTAGTTCTTAAACTGAAGTCTAAAATCATCAATGAAAATCTCACAGGCTGTAATTCCATGCATTGAGGTTGTTAATCTTAACAAATCTGGAGGGACATGCGCAGCCATTATCTACGTTTGGGTGTTCAGGAAGCAGGTCACGGGGCTTGAGGTTTGAACTCCAAGAGAGACACGACCTCTGTGCCCTTGGGCAAGGTGATGTCTTCACCGTTGCTGTACAATGTTGGACAGTGGTAAAGTGGCTATTTGGCAGCGGTATGATCCACTGAGCAAACAGCTCAGATTGAATGGTCTGTTAAAACAGCACGCTGGTGATGGCAGGCGCTAAGAAATCACACAGGATCACTCCCCTGTTTGCCCTCAGTGGAGCCTGTGTGATGTCAGGCCTGTAAATGTGTGCATTCAGCTGCTCAGCGGCCTGCTTCTCTGCACTGCAGACACCCTCGGTTCCAGCCTCTGGACCAAAGGAATCCCACGCCGAGGGAGGAACGTATCGTCTTTCACCAGAGACCTTCTGCCAGCCATATTCCACACCACCGCAGCCTCGACATCACATAAACTGGAAAGCCACGCCTACTTCAGACACCATCGAGGCGGAGAAGGTCATTTCTTCTCCATGTGCTTTGGGCAAATAACAATTTTTGAATGTAGCACCTTATTAATGGCACCTCAGGTTGGAGCAAATAAGGAGTGCAAGCCACCCCCCCAAACAGCGCCTGTACACGGTGCCACTCACACTTCACCGTGACACCAGGGGGGGAGGGGGGGAGCGCAGACTCCATCCTCAACCTTAATCCCAAAACTGCTACTGCAGAAAACCGCACTATTCTTTGACCCCCCCAAATCTAAATGTCGATTAGAGCTTCATAGAATTTTTTTCAGCGGGGGAGAAATACGCAAACTGTGTCTGGCAAAAAAAAAACACGAGCTCATGTCAGCCCAGGTCACTGTCTAAATTGCTCGGCGATAAAAGGAGTGTACATGAGTGTAAAGAAATTACAGCACTTAATCTTCTATTTGCACTTCAACTGTATCAGAAAAAAACAGCTGTGTATGACAGTGTCAAACTATGAATCACTTAACCCGAAAAAAGCATCTTCTAGGCCACTAAACCTCGTAACAGTATTGTGAGTTTATAAATGACCCACATGGATCCTTTCCCTTTTACAATGTGCCAAGCATGAATAAACACAAATAAATGACCATCTTTCAATAACGTAATAATTTCTATTACGAGAAAGAGCTACATCCAAGGCACCCTCAGTCGAGGGAAGTACTTTCCTCCTTATCTCAGTGACGGCATCTTTGAGGCACTTAGGATCAGGTGCTCATCTTCCTCTAACCCTGTGAAACCTGCCCCTGGGTGAAACCTGGGGCTGTTGCTTTTGAATAATTCAGAGTTTCACAGTGATGACCTGTGCCTGACCTGGCAGTGCTCTACACAGAGGCAGCCAGAGGTTACACACACAGTAACAAGCGCAGGCACATAAATCCACATCCAAAAAACAAAGCTCCGAATTCATTTGGTTCACATGTGATGTCAGTCCTAAGTGTCTATCTATTACTCCATTGATTATGCAGTATAATATCATTAGCCCAGTATTCATGGTCATTCTATACAGTTCTTTTTAGGTACCATAATAACTGTGCTGGTTCTATTACTGGTACGCAGGTCACAGAACCATAACTGATAATGACAAACTGTTTTCCCGAGCGCCGCTTTTATGAAAAACAGAGAACAGGCCTTCTTTTATTTGAGACAACTGCCTTAAGAAATCTGAAATACACTCAAAAACGAGATGAAACAAAAGAACTTATGATATGCTGAACTATCGGGGGGGGGGGGGGGGCAGTGGTTTAAATGGATGCCTTGTGTGCCTTTGTAACATGGAACACTGGACAGTTCCCCTCCCCCACCTCGTACCCGCTGCCCTGCCTCCCCAGGCGAACAATGCCCTTGGCCGTGGGGGGCTGTGATGTAACAGGGGAACGCCGCCTTCGCCGGATGGAAGGTTAATCCGGAGTGCAAGCCGCAGGGGAAATGGCCCTGAAACCAAGAGTGGCGCAGCAGGCAGAGAGAAGGCGAACCCCAGCCTGACAGCGCGTTTCCACTCCTGTCCAGCTGGGGGGAGGGAATGGGATCCTTACCTCACACACTCTATGATCAGGGATAGTGGGTAGAGGGAATAAGCAAGACCATCAAATCTACAGTATCACAGCAATCTATTATGAACACAGTCTCGTAAAAAGCGGGACCTGAAACTCCACAAATGAATACTGGTGGGATCAATCTGGTCACATTCTGTAGCATGCAATACTGAAATCTAATTACACTAGGTATTGGACAGAGACTTTTTGAGGGACAGGTGCTCAAAGCCTTTGACACATTAAAGGGATACTCCATAGCTATAAGGCTGATTTATACTTCAGTACATAATCTATGCCGTAGATCGCTGCGTAGTCATATACAGTACTGTACTCTGTACCCTACGCCATAGCACCTTCCCAGAAATGAAACTACAGGCATCAGGGTACAGCGTAGGGCACAAAGCCACGTGACTATCTACAACGCAGATTCTTTGCAGAAGTATAAATCAGCCTTTAAAGGGAGGGACCTTAAATAGTTCAGGCATAAGAGGCTGGGCGCAGTGAGTGGCTCACTGCGGTAAGTCTCTGTGCCCGCGATCGAGCCTTGACCTCAGCAGAACAATCACATGTCTGTGGGCCTTGGAGCAAAGCCCTTAGTCCCCAACTCCAGGGGTGCCACATGTTGGCTGACCCTACACTGTGACCCCCAAGCTATGGAGAGCATGATGGGGTCAGCAAAGAGAAGCATTCCAATGTACTTGTACAAGTGGCAAATAAAGAAGCATCTGAGTGTTTTAAGGTGCTCCGGCACGTCCAGCCCCCCCGCACATGCCTGAATAAGGTTATTTAAAAATTACACACCGTGTAATTTATAAAATGTAAAACCAGCACTACAGGATCATATGGTTGCAAGCCATGAATAATCAATGCCAGAAACAAGTAGGGATTCACAGATTGATGGTGACCATCAATAGGCAACTAAGCAAATAATCCTACTCTAACCGCAATCAGCATTCATTTAACGCACACTGGACCCATAAACACTTTCTCAGGGTGAAAAATGGTCTTGCTGGAGGCGAGGTGCCCCTCCAGCCTGATCCAAGTGTTTTCTTGCACATTCTACAGGGCTGCCAGTGGCACTAATCAGTTTTAAAAAGAAGGATGGTCTCCTGTTGCAGCTGTTACGCAGTGCCGCGGTTTTGTCCAATGGAGGGGCTGCAGAGCCGAGCCGGGTAACCTCTTTCTGTCATAAGGACTGAACGTCAAAGAGGCATGCAGAAGAGGCATTTGCTCTGTTACCGTGTTCCATATAATCGTTTAATTTTTCGCAGCTCACAACAGGCTCCAGAAATCGCCGGCATGCACGCACACACACCCAGCCACACGTTTGTCTCCCGAAAGAGTATTTGTTGAATATCAAGCAGCAGGAGTGTACAAGAATCACAAGCGAGTGCGAGCAGAGGACTGTTCCACAGGCTAGCGGTGTACAGAAAAACTGAATTTAGATATATTTTCCAATGTTTCTGGCCCGCAGTTTTAGCTTGAGTTATTCCATATTAATAAAACATGGGAGTGACTAACAGGGCTTGACAGAGCCACTTTTGCAAGCTCATCCAGGGCTCCTTGCCTATCTAGCTGAGGGACAAGAGATCCCCTCTCCAGCTGGCCCCAGACTATGGCTGATATTATAATGAAAAGCCTGTTGGAGAATTTTCATACAGAAAATAGGAGCTTTTAATCTTCTCTAAATCCTTGCCGTATTTCCTCTAAATGACCTTCAGAAGCACGCCCACGCCCGTTTCACAAGGCTATCTAATGCTAGTACTCACACTTTGAACCCGGGCTCAAACCAGGGCTCCACTGAACCGGCTTCACGCGGTTTGGGTGAAATTTGTGAGAGACAAAATAAAAACAGGTTTAGCAGAAAGACAAGTCTTGGTATAGACCCTGATAGACCCTGAGAGACGGCAACCCTGCAATGAAAGCCAACTAGAGGCTGCAACTATCTCTCTCACAAATCATGGTGAGCTATGTAAAAATGGCAGGCACGAAACAGAGAAGCCAAGAAAGGCGAACAGGCTTGGCTCCACTGCTTTCCATTAATGCCACTACGGTATTCCTTATGACGGCAGGTAAACCACAGGTCACAGAACTGCACTGGTTTGCTGGCTGAAGTCCCAGGTGGGACTGTATATTATAATATCCTCAAGCAAGGTAATTAATTATGTTAATAAAAATACTCCAGCTTTAAAAAGAGATGCAATTAGGAATATGGCATCTTTAGGACAGAATGGATACAGTAAATACAGCCAAACTTGGCAAATTATAGCAATTGATTTTACATGGAGGCTGAGGGGCATTATCAGTTTGAATACATTGTTGCTGACAGGAACCAGAATCGTGACGGGGGAGGGGCTCAAAACCGGTCTGTAAAACCACAGCAACAGTAAAATCCCCACATCCCTCACCCCCACCCACAGCGAGCCTGGAAGACTCAAGAATTGTGTCCCGATTTGTCATTTCCCATGATGCCCTGGAAACTGTAGCCTCTGTCTATCCCAGTGTTTCCTGTTTGCACCGGCTTACTGGATTCTGGGGGTGGGATGCACCATGTCCCAAAGGGGGGAGGGTCTTCAAACTTTGCTTCCATTTGCATTTCTGTGTATCACATTTTCTCTCCCAGATCTTTATTGCAACTGACAAAATATGTAGAATACGGATGTTCTTCTCTTTGGGGAAAAATGTGAAACTGCACCCCTGAGCTAACAGAGCAAGGAAATCGTGAATCGGGAATAGACAATCAAAATCCTAAATTAGGACCCAATCTGGACTATCACATGCCAGGTTTGACACCAAAAGGTGACATCATGGTGACAGGCTGCACACCGACCTGGCATCTCAAACCTTTTGAGTGACTCTTGCACCTCATTATTCTCATCAAAGCCATGTTCATTTGAACTCCTAACTACATAATGTTCTGTCATCACCCAAAAGAAGGGAAACATGTTAAAACTCAGCCTAGATGGCCTAACTCCCTGCTTCTTATCTAATTTCATCTTGCTTTCAAGCTAATAGAATGGTCCTCCTACCAAGATTTGTATACATTGAGTCACCCCTAGAAAATGTCATTAAATAGTGCTCAAATGGCCCTGAAATTATGAGATAATGAAAAGCAAAATTTCAGATTAACCGTGTCCTGAACATGTTACCGTTTGATGGGGGTTTAATTTACATCTTAAAGTGCTCTCATCTAGATGGTTTAGGGTTAAACACAACCTTGTGATGTGTTAGCTTTGAGTTTGATGCTATAAATGATATGCAAACGTCTGACAATCAAGACGATGACCCGGTGTGCTATCTGCTGACTGAGGCACGCGGCGTCCTCTTAACCAAATATTTCAGCTGTTTCATACCAAAATCACATCAAGTTGTCCTTTTTAAAATTCACACCGGTGTAGTTTGAATACATAGCTAGCCTGGATCTTTTTAAAGCATGGAGTAAACATCATATGTTTCAAACGAAAATCAAGGCAGACATTACCCGTATTTTGGATGTATAAGAATTTGGAAGATTGATGCATGGTATTTAATGAACTTAAATTCACTTCACAGTCCTTAAAAAGAAGCATAAATGTAAAACAGTGTAAACCTCCAGCATTAAGACAGACGTCTTTGAATATGTCAACAAAATAAAATAATGGGGGTGGGGTGTGGCACTGCAGGTTGTCGGTTCAGATCCCAAGGTCTGCAGTTGGCACCCCAGTTACTCCAAGGACTTGCTGATCCTGGCTGATTTCTCAAAAAATGTGTTTCACTTTGGATTAAATCTTCTATGAAATAAAATATAATCCAAAGTATTCTATATTCCATGGATCAGCCCTGTATAATATGTTTATATTGATGCTGGCGTACTCAAAGGGAGATTCCAAATCGTAACGTGTTCTACTCGTGCTGGACAGCCAGTCCACACAGAGGACCAGATGCCACTGAAGTGCCCCTTGACATCTGGCAGAGGAAGCCAGACTGGAGAGCACGATGAACCTGGCAGAATGGGCACCCCCAGCAGCCGACAGCTACACCAGCTGAAGCATCTAACCTCATTAACCAGGCCGCCAGGTCTGGGCCAAAGGGGATCTATCGCAGACTGCGTCCCTGTTCCCACCATGTGGACGTACACTGTTCCACACAGGTCTGTATATAAAAATATAGGGCTTTAGAAAGTATAAAGTGAGAACACACACTCTATAATTTTGAATTTAAAAGCCAAATAACCAGGCAAAAATACCTCTCAGCATTTGATCCATGTTCGCAGCGCTCATCTAAGCACACCGTGTTCTGCTTATTTGAATGGAAAAGTTGGTGTCCTCGTTACACTGACGATTCTTCCATTTAATTCCCCTTTTCTACTATAATCCATTTAAACCACTGCACACGTGTGAGTGTGTATGCGTGTGTCATTTTGTGTCATTGGGATACGGCGCTAATCGGCGAATAAAATTCGCCCGTCTCCATGAAAGACGGAAGCAGATCGATTATTAGGAGTACAAACGATGAGGACGTCTCAGCGAACATAGTTTTTATAATAAATTTTAGTTCTTCAGTTTTTAAAATAGCACGTTTAATATACAGCCCCTTCTAGGCCAAGGACATCCTTTTGCCTGTGGACCAAGCCACCACGTTACGTACGGATTTGCTTAGTAGACGGGTTTATCCAAAGTGACTTTTGGATGGTTTACAGCATTACAAATCACATATAGGCTAGATAATGTTTGTATTTTCATTTTTTTTAAACTGTTGCAATTCAGGTTATATGTACGTTACAGAACTGGATCACATCCTATAATATGAACCGATTTAAATCGGAAGCCTACAGTTTACACCGCATCACCTCCTCCTCGAACAAAAAAAAAAAACAGTTAATTTTGCCGACAATGTTAGTTATTAATTAAAAATAAATAAATAAACAATTCGTAATAATGACTATATCACTACATCCTGTAGGAACACGGAAACATCCGAGAACGTGCAGGAATATGATAATGAACAGATTATACTGGAAACTCGCTGCCAGAAGGTTGCCAGTCCTTGTTCAAAAATAAATGCACTGAACCTATTTCATTTAATCTAATCTAATCTAATCCTAGGAAGACCACTGCACTTTATAAATTCTCTGCAGTGTAAGGCGTCCAGGAAATGGTTAAGGGGCAGGTAAGCGCGGCTCTGGACGTCCGGACACGGAGGTGCTGTTGCATAGCGTTACTTTACGGAGGAAGATATTACAGGCATCACAGCAGCGAGTCATTGCAGCGTGACTGCTTCTTCATTTAATCTCTTTCCATCTGGACCTGCTGTGATAATTAGCAGCATCAGAATTTGAAGTCGAACATTAAAATCAATCATTTCTAAACATTAAACACAGATAAAACAGATCTACAGCCATATTGCATTTTTATTCAAGAAATATGTTGTTTTTTCATTTGTTGTAATATTATTTATACCATATATTGCGTAATGCATTGCAAAAAAAATAGTAGGCTGGATGAAATCATTCCGTTTCATATATTCATCTGACCACAAGCGTATCAACCAAAGCGTTCTAAGTCTCACTACTATACAGTGTATTTGTCATTCAGTATTAACTAGGAGCCTCGCAAGTTTACGAGTATTTCATTTTCTCACCACGTTCCGTACATGCAGCGTAATTATTATTATTTATAGTACCATTTCAATTTTAATTAGGCCTAAGCATTTTTTTTAATTGACATTGTGCGGCTAAGGGAATCTGATGGATTTGGGAAATGGGAATCTATAATCTCACAACGTCCCTAAAACATCACTCAGATCCATTTAATGGCGACGTGAGGACGATTAAGCAAACGGCATTCCACATACAGTACGGGAAATTCAGCAACGTTTCGCGTCGACGATTCCAATAGCCAATACGTGCAATTCAGTTAATTGAATTGAATGAAACAATAATGCAAGGAATCAAACACAGCACTGCTGTTTCCAATGAGTCTGTGTACCGGCACCCAGTTTACTCAACGCTAAATGTCAGAAATCGATTGAAATGAAACCTACAAAATACATTCATCCATCCATACAAAATGACAATGGTCCGACCATATTTTCATATTTGACTTTTCAAAGCAGGGGAGGTCATTCGAGCACGCCCAGGATGCTTACATGTTGCCCAAAGACAATATTATTATTATTATAATTGATATATTCTATATATATTTACATTTACCAGAAATGCATCTATGAATCTATATATTTAAATTTAGCAGACATGCATCTACAATGAAATGCAACGATGACACTATAAAAGTAAATCTTACCATCGCGTTGCATAATCCGATCGCACATGTTCCCATTTTCAATCAATCGTATTTCGACGCTGTGCTTCCCAGTTATTCTGATTGACCATTTTAGATGGAAAAATAACAAAGGTAATCCTTCTTATCGGTCAATCATGTCTCCTCGTTCAGCGGGTTGCACAGCGCGTCTCCTGCACCAAACGCATAGGATTTACTATCCGATCTCCTCGCGTACTGTATTTCCAGCGGGTGTAGTGTGCGTTTAAAGGGGCGTGCCTGAGCGTGTGTTTGTGCGCGATGTGCGCGCGCGCGCCAGTATGTGTGTGTGTGGAAGGGGCCGGGGGGGCATGACATACAGTCAGTCATTGCTCTCCACTGAGGGAGGGTTTGTGGGAATTATTGCGGGGAACCAAGAATATCGTGCGAAATATGCGAAATAAATAATGAAATATGAAATAAATTACATTAATAATTCTTCCAGCTGTTCTTCTTGAATTTGCCGGATCCATCCATCTTCCAGCTACCCATCCTGGAGGAAACGTGGAAGCCTGGTGTCTTCCCTAGACAGCGCAAGCCGAAAGACCGCCGCACCAGATGCTGGTCCTTTGGAAAACATCATACCGCCTCCAAAGTTAATTGGTTAATGAACGACAGTGCTTTCAAAGAGTTATAGTGATGTGCTAAAACAGGAACAAAGCCTTTCTCCTCTTGGCTGTCATCCGCAGCTGTGAGCAGGGACAAATGGAAATGGCTGACTGCTAAAGAATACATTTATTCGATTCTTCAATTGAATAATTGAATGTTCTTTAAGATAAATCACATTGCAAATAACTTGTGAAGTAGGACTTAGGACTCACAGCTCTTAATCAGCATGTGAAAATGACATGTGAAGGTTTTTTACTCAAAACATCCAACATCCTGGATCTTACATCCATCCATCCATCCAACTTCCATATGCAGACTTCAGTCTGTACCCTGCACAGGCTGGCATAGAGAATTGACTCATTGATGGACTTTAGCTTGACCTGATCACAGTCTACACCTTGCTTTTAGCAAGCCAGCCCATTATTTTCTGTGTTAGCATTTCTGTGTTTGTCTTTCCCTGTTTTTGTATTGTTCTTTCTTTACGATGCTGCACTGCATCACAACACACCCATGTAAAGCTCCTTGGGGCGACTCAATTGTGAAAGGCGCTATATAAAAATAGATTGATTTGAATTGAATATGCTGACCCAGTACAGCATTTCAGTACCACAAGGGTACAAGGCAGGGGAACACTCTAGATGCGATGCCAGCATTTGCAAATTATCTTTAGCTCCATTTTCTCCCAGGGCTGAACTGGGATTAAAAATCAGCCCTGGACTTTGGGGATCCCCATGGTAAATTTTCACATACTCATCAGACCCCCAAGAAAATGCCTGTGATGCCAGATGACTAACCCAGCCCCAGGCTCTCTGCCTTCTCCTGACCTGATTTGTGTCATGATTGTCTTAAGTAGACTGTTATGGTACTCAGGGGTTCACTCTACTTTTTGAAAACCTCTTTAGGGCCATTGTACTAGAAAGTATGAGCTGGGCACACTGTCAGTGGCCAACAGGCAGTCACATGACTACATATATGAATTTTCCAGTCACATCTCATTGTCACTCAGCAAGACACGCAAGCCCAAACCTGTCAGGCCAGTAGAAATGGTTTCACTCCAAACAAATTTAGTTTGTTTTTCCATCGCGCTGTTTGTTTTTCTGTGTTAACTAGAAGGCGGTAGGACATCCTGTTAAATGCTCTTCACAAACTGTGACCGGTTTTCTATCTTGGAGGAGGGGAGACCAGCCTGCAAGGTTTACAGTTAGGCACCTGACACCTGCGATTCCTTATCTGTAATGCCGGAAATGAACTGAATCAGCAGAGGCAGAACAACTCGTTCAATCTACGGCCGAGCAACTCAGCTCAGTTAAAACTAACGTGCAGTCCAGGTGTCGCAAACGTGCTGCCTGGATATAAGACGTTTTGTATCCAGAAGTCATTGTATGGTGAGTCACATTGACTTCAACTGTCTCTGGTATGGAGTCAGAAGACCACGAGTCTCCTAGGTAACAGAGTGGCTTGCTCTTGTGTATCTGTGGTCGATAGCAGATACTGAAGAGAAGACATCCTCTCTCTGCTCCTTTCTGTGTTTTTGACTATCAATCTGCAAATGCAGGTTGCGGTGTATCAAGGCAAGAGGTATGCAGTCATACTGCGCTGGTGTGAGTTCTGCTTACAGAAAAATGTTCTGAGGGCAGAACAAAAAATGATTGGTTCAGAAAGATATCCTAACTAGAAGAGGCAGGACCAAGACATCTGATTTGTTGTTCCCGTCTCCTCTAGTTGCTTGGACCCACCTCCTCTGCCATCTGATTGGTTATTTTTCTGAATTAATCATGTTTCATTCTGCCCTCAGAACATTTTTCTGTAAGTAAAACTCCCATGAGCTCATACTGTACAGCTTCTCCTGCAGCACACATGCCTTTCATTTTGATCAAAAGTTTGCTGGTTCAAAGCCCATGGCCAGCAAAACAACAAGCAAGACCCTTAACTCCAAATTGCTCCTGGGCTACTTTGCTGTGACCCAACCCCACCCACCCAATTTTTGCTCTCGTCTGTGTGTCTCATGTAGAGTTAGATGGAATAGGTAAAAAAGCAATTTCTCTACAATGACTAATAAAGTACAGATTCTCCCCAGGTTAAGATAGGGTTACGTTCTGATAAAACTATCGTAAGGTGAAAATGCATTTTAATACAGTAAACCTAACCAAACAAGCTTCATAGCCTAACCTAGCATACCTTAAACATGCTTGGAACACTTACATTAGCCTATAGCTGGTCTACATTAGCCTACAGAATCATTAACACAAAGCCTATTTTATAATAAGATGTTGAATATCTCATGTAATTTAATCAATCCCATCGTAAAGTCGAAATAACGTAAAATGGATCATCATAGCCCAGGTACCCTCTGTATCAATATTCTATTCTATTCTAACCAAACATCTCCAAAGTTGGGGTATGGAGCTGCAGCATAGAGCTACAGACCTCCCAGGCTGCTTTTTCTTGTCCCTGCCCAGGAGCTGACTGGGGATCAGTCGACTTTTCCTGTGTGGCAGGAAGCTCTCGGCACGCGTCTACATCCTGCATTGGCAGCGGGATCCCTGGCTGAAGCTGTGCTGCTTGTTGTGATGCATCCCCAAGTACCCGGTGCCGGGGGCCTCACTTTGTGCGATGCTGCTAGGAGAGCGGCGGTAAGGGCCCGGAACTGCGCCCAAATCCTGGCAGGAGAACTTTTTCAGAAGTGAGTTTGAACACCACACACAGCCGGAACAATTTTGGGAAGTAACCTAAATAAGTAGACCCAGTAATTCTATTGCTGTAAAAGAGCTGCTCTTTTTGTGCCACCCACCCATACTAGCTTCAACAGTATAGGAAGCTATTCTATTGAACAATAGGTTGCTAGTTCAAATCCCAAGGTCCACTGAGTAATTTTACAGTCTGACCCTGTTTTCTCAAAAAAATGATTTAGATAAAAGCATTTGCTAAATAAATAAATAATAAAATGAATAAAAAAAAAGCCAGAGATATGACTTTAGGTTAATTTCCCTGAAATGCATTAAACATAAAAAAGATTAAGTCCGGAGGCTGAATGGAATATCTCACTGTCGTACAAATGAAAGAGATTCCCGGAGCTCAGCGCGACGTCATACCAAAATGTGAGAGTAAGCCATCAGTTTTGCATGGGGGAGGGTGTGCTGTTCACTGGCATGCTTCGGTGTGAATTTTTCACCTCGCCTTTTTTTCGGTAGCAGTCACTGAGATGTGTTTCTGATTCTCATGCTGCGGCAATGAAATGACTATCTTCATCTGCCAGCGCCTTCTTCGCTCTCTGATGACAAACACAGACTCGCACGCTTCACATTGCTGCCTGATTCTAACACCTTCATTGTACCTGTACACTGAGCATGACCCGTTAGTCGCTTTCGACAGAAGCATCTGCTAGAAATAAATATAAATGTATCTTACAGAAAAGATGGAGCCCCTCTGGTATATTCAAGCACATAATACCATTATTGTCATCATGGTACAGGGTATATAATTTATGGGAAAAGCTTTAATAGTATAAAGCGAAGTATTCACTGATGCTAGCATTACAGTGAATGGGAAAGGAGCAGTATTACTGGAGATTACTGGAGTTCCTGAAGTTTGGCAGCCTTTGCAGTCAAGAGCTGTAAGGATTGTGGTCCACATGAGTATGTTCTGCTAATACAGATACTAACATGACTTTACTTTGCCTAAATGGCTTTGCATGAAAATGACAGACTATCTAGGATTTACTTCTTACTACTGTCACCTAGGGCATAATTTTTGACAAACTGGATTTATTAAAACATATTTTGAAATCCGGGACCTTGCCTGGGTCCTTTACTCCTAGATGGGGCACCACACCTGAATTGTTCTCGGAAAACACCTAATGTATATTTGAAGGCGTAAGAAGAACATAGGCTGAGGTACAGTAGGCTGCTCTGAACACCTGCCTGCTATACAGCTAAAAATAAGCCTGGAATGATAAGGTGGCAGCGTGATTATGACTGCGACTCTCTCCACGACTCTCCAGATGGCGTTAAGGTGGGGATCCTGATTTCGCAGCTGGGAGTGTGGTCAGCGCTACAGACTGGAGGACATAAATCTGACCTCCAGGAAACACGGCACCTGGAGAACAAGCCAGACCTGCGTTTTAGCACTCAGGATATGCTGGGGATTGGAGGGAAGTGACGTCGTCAGACATGTAGTGGCTGTGCTGTGTTTTCTTTCAATGTCAGAACAGCCCCGCCTCTCCTGCCATGCCCACTTGTCTGAACTGCTAATCTTAGCCGAAACAGGTGGTCAGAGAAGAGGATGTTGAACTTGCGCCGACATCGCTGTGGTCTCTACGGCAAATAGGTATATAGGTAAGCTCTTCCAGATTACATGGACACTTTGGTGCTCTTAACCAGTGAGTCATTGATCATCAGTGACCCAGAACATTACTGACCACCAGTCACCGCCTAGCAGCCTGGCCTTTGGATGCTTAAAAGTCACCAAAAGTTGTTCTTTATTACATGTTTCACTTTTTGCATTTAATTCCCCATTTTGTATTCTGATTTTTTAATTTAAAAATGTGATCCGTATAACATGTAATGACAACCAGTAGATAAGATAAGATAAGATAAGATAAGATAAGATAA